ACGCATTGGGTGTTAATGGGCCATAAAGACCAACTCCGGGCAGCAAAAAAATCATAAAAATAGCGCCCCCAGCTAATAAAGAAATGGATGCTTGTTTTGTCAAGGGAATGATTTAACATGGAATAAAAATGACCTTCAGCGAGCTTCTTCCCCACTGGTTCTTGTTGTGACAACCAGTTCCCAGAAGCCACTATTTTTGCCATTCTCTGACTGGTCTTGATACCACCCTTCATGTTGACATCAGTGGCCACCACTGTTCCTGCATTGTAGGTAATGACATAGGGGGCCCTCCCACATTTCTGCTCTGGAGGGAATAAGACTGGAATGTCAGCTGTCATAGTACCGTGAAGTAAGTTAAGTTTTACTGTGTTAGAGCGTACCTTTGAAAAAAACAAGCATTAAATTATTTATCCACACAGAGAGGGGGACACAAGTTTTATGATTTATTTACTGTCTGGAGTTCTGCCTCTGTCTTAGTAAAAAAAAAATGGAGGGGTATTGTATGTAACACTCGGCCCTATGGTCTAAACAAATACAAAATCAATATATTCACGTTCTCAAACAATTCATCCCCACACAGTTACCTCCTCATGTATCACTTCCCCCTCCCCTTTTAGATTGTAAGCCCCCAGGGGCTGGGCCCTCCTTACCATCTTGTCTTGAATTGTATTGTGATTGTAATGTCTTCCTTATATTGTAAAGCGCTGTGCAAACTCTTGGCGCTATATAAATACTATGTAATAATAATAATAATATATCATATGGTTAATAGCTTCAAATATAAAGCAAAAATTGTGCCCAGTGCAGAGCCAAGCGCCAGCAGTCTTCAAAAACCACAACGCTCACCGTAACAGATCTTTGCCATATGTATCCTGTTTCCCAAAGGACAGAAATATCCTGTAATCTCACATCCTGTTTATTAACAGACTGAGTTATTTAGAAACATAGAAATAAAAAGGGCATTTGTGCAGTTATCTGAGACTTAGTATTCTGTGCCTGAAGGATGTGGAGTGAAATGAGACAAAATCTTAATGACCTTGTGTATAGCTGAGTATAACTTAGATCCAAGTAGCGTACCTTCCGGTACCGCATAGCTGGCCTATGACTATAGTAAAGAATTTGTAAAGTTTTCAGATGTGGCAGTCCTAAGTCTAAAATAAATGAGTAAAAGAAGGACAACACGGTTTTCTGCCATCTTGTTGGCTAATTGAAGGAGTTGTATTTCAAAAATGACTGTTGTTTGAAGGCTTCCTCTAAAGTAGGCATGCGTTTTTACTGGTTCAGGGGCTTTTTTTTTTTAACATTCGGAAGGTTATTTTCAAATGATGGAAATTAGGGATGCACAGATACTTTTCGAGTACCAGTACAGATACTTGGCATTTTCATGAGAACTACCAGGGTTGCAGAGGTTGCAGCTGGGACCTGGCTCTGGTGCTCCACCACTGTTCTGAAATCATTAGTCTGTATTGTTTTAGAAAAACTGTCACATGACAATAAACAAAAATGTATCAGTACTCGTACTTGTAAGTACTCGGCAAGTACCAGTACTCGTACTCGCAAAACTGGTATCTGTGCATTCCTTTATTTATATTTATAAAAACAAAATCGTACATTAAAACAGAGATGTACAAATCCCAGGAGCTCTGTGTGCTCCTTACAAATGACAACTTCCTCCTAACTTTTGCATTTCTCTCTAGTGTAGTCTTGGAGCTCAAAAGTATCGGTACATGTACTCGTACTTGTACCGAGTACTGTACTTGGTATCTGTGCAACCCTAATGGAAATATTTGAATATCTTGTTCCATAATGTATATGTTCTAAACAAATTCATCTGTATGGCCATGTGTTAGGTCAGGCCCAGTACAGACAGTTGGGCCAAGACTCAAGCCTGCCAATTCACTGGAGATATTGGTGCCACTTTTTGTAGGAGCCACCAAGCAGAAATGGAGGGTGGCAGTAGAGTAGGCCTTACCACAGTTACTACTGCTAGATATCTAAGTGGAAGAAACCCACAGGTGGGGTTATGTACACTTCAGGGACATGCGGTGAGGTCAGTAGCAGGTGAGGCACCATCCGGCCCACCCCCGCCCCAGTCACCGAGCTATGTTTTCATCTGCTGTGGCAAGATTCCACAGCCGGCAGCTGAATGTAAACAGCAGCAGGGCAGCAGGTGGTTCCGTTCCTCCTTGCAGATCTGTCCCCAGTGCTGTGTCTTGCCGGTATCGGTATTTTCCTACTCATGAAAATGCCCCGATAGATACTAAGCAGTGGCGTAACAACCGGGGGTGCGGGGGGGTCACTTGCGCCGGGCGCAGGACTGAGGGGGGGCGCCGTCACGACCCCCGCTAAACGAAGCCATGGCTCCCTCTCCCTGACACGATCACCTGGCTAGCGCCGATATCGGCGCTTTAAATTTATAAACTGAAGCCGGCGCAGTAAACAGGCATTGGGCTTCACAGGAAGGCTGCCGAGGTCCTCAGCAATGTCCCGTGAGCCTTCCTGTGAATCACGGCACCTGTTGACAGCACTAGCAGCAAATCTCCTTCCTGCCGCCAAGACCGGCCGGGACCCCTGGTGAGACCAGCACAGACCCCACACAGCCACCTGAGAGTCTGTGCAGCCCTCCTAGGACCCTGCACAGCCCACCAAAGACACCGCACAGCAACCTGAGAGTCCACACAGCCTTCCTAAGACACCACACAGCCCACTATAGGACCCTGCACAGCCCACCAAAGACACCGCACAGCAACCTGAGAGTCCACACAGCCTTCCTAAGACACCACACAGCCCACCATAGAACCTGCACAGACCACCATAGAACCTGCACTGTTACACTAATTGCCATTATTTTTCTTAGACTTCAATATTCAGAGCTAGTTATTACTAAAACCAGTAATAATCAAATGCAGAGGCAATTATTTAATATGATAAAGAGTAGATATATTTTTATAGTCTTAGAGATACAACAGGCCCTTTGAGGGGAACCATAAAGCTGCTGCGGCCCGCGATATAATTGAGTTTGACACCCCTGGCTTACAGCAAGCACTGATGCAATCCTGAACTTTAAGAAATGCCTATAACACTCGCTACCTTGTCTAGACAGGAATGTAACAGAGATTTTAACTTCTGACTTCAGCCAGTAAGCTGCAGACGCTGTTTGGGTATTCTGACAGCTACAGACACCAGGTGTTAGAATACAATAAAAAAACAAGAGAAAAAAAAAAGAGAAAGTAAGGTAAGTGTATGTACTTTTTCTTTTCTCCAATGTGTTTCCTCCCATGAATACTTAGCACAGAATACCTGTGTCCAGCAGTGACGTTTCCGCTTCTTGGTGAGGCACTCCCCATCCCCGCCCCCAACATACTGAAGCCCCGCCCATATCCTGCCAAAGCCCCATCCCAACAAAGCCTCGGCTAGTGTGATTGAGGGAGGAGGAAGGGAGGAGACAGGGGGGACCCTCCCTGTCCCTCACTTGCTCGTCACTGCTGAGGCATTGAGATCGATGGCCTCAGTGGGTTTACCATCCACAGAGCTCACACCTCTGACAAAGAGTAGAGGCTGTGACAGCTCTTTCCTCAATAATTAGGTTACACAAGCAGTGGGGAAGCCCGCTGCTGTGCAACCTAACTACCTGTCAAAAGCCGGATGCATTACAGGCAGCGCTCCATCCATGACAGGTTACACAGCGGGGAGGCTTTCCCTGCTGAGTAACCTGATAGAAGCCGATGTGAATGGAGAAAAAGCTGTCAGCTTCAGACTTGAAGCTGATAGCTTTTTCCTCCATAATACTAGGTGAGGCTCTGACTCACCTGCCTCCCCTTACCGCACGTCCCTGGTGTCCAGCGACAGTGATCTATTCCAAACCGCAGGTAATCGTATCACATACAATTACATACGGACTGCCGCTTACAGATGCCGCGCTGCTGTCACCCGTTCAATAACTTTAACAGGTGACAGCTACCACATCTTTGGCCCCGTTCACACTGAGCGATTTATCGCGCGGTAATGCGCGCGATATCGCGGATATTTACCGCGCGATATCACTCTCCAATACATCTCAATGGGGCTTTTTGATTTTATGTTCCCGGGGACATCATTTGTCCGGGGATGGTCTTCTCATTCCGGGGACTTTGCCTAGGGAATCAGGGACGAATGGTCACCCTGATCTAGAGCAGTTGCCCAAAGTAACCAATCAGCTTCTCTGTTCAGATTGTTCAGTGAAACTTTGAAACTGAGAGAAGTTGATTGGTTGCCATGGGCAACTGCTCCAGATTCTATCTGCTCCAGTTTTGATCAATTCCCTTCAATGTGTCCACGTTTGGAGCAGCATTGTGGCAGCGTTTTAAGATACAAGCTGCCTGAAAGGTAAGAATATTGCCTGATCTTTCTGCACGAACTGCTATTTTCTCTTTTGACCCTGCAGTAACAGAAGCAACTGAAGGCAAAATAGATTTATTGCGGCCTGTGTTCCATAATGACAGACAGTGATAAAAACCTGACAAGTGCTGAATCCCTTGCCACTGTATTCAAAACTAAAAAAAGAAAAAAAATGTGTCCACTGAAAGTGAAAAAAGAAAGAACTTGCATTCCACATTTTGGGTTGTCACCAGAACAGAAATAGATGGCAAATCTTCCAATGGGGACACTCGTTCTGGTGACCCTGCTGACCCCCCCAAAATGTATTTCTCACTTCCTGTTGTGGCTATAGAACAGGAAGGGAAATATTTCCACTGGGAATGGGGGGGAAAAGCTGACATGAGGCATTGCAAGATTGAAGAAAAAAATTTATTAAAAAAATTTGGCTTTCAGTTCAATCGGAATTTTTTTAAAGAAAGAAACATGGTGACTATTACAAAGAGATTTAAAAAAAAAAGAATTAGAAAGTATTAGGTTCACTTTAACAAGTTTGAAGCGACATACTGGTGGGCGAAACAAAAGAGAACGTGAGTCACCTGACACGAATCTATTACGTAGCTACAGACAAACGCGCTCCACCCTGGTCATGTGACCTCGAGGGAGGGGTTCTATGCAAAATGGCGTCGCTGCTTCAGTTGGAGAGGGTGTTGTATTTGGTGCACGGCGAAAAGGACATTCGGGCGCCGCTGTCTCAGCTCTACTTCTGCCGCTACTGCAGTGAGCTGCGCTCCTTGGAATGCGTCTCTCACGAGGTAAATGACACAGCCGCCCTTTTCCTCGGTGCTGATCCGGCATCTCTGTGAGCCGGAGCTTTGAGATCTAGCCAATAGCGGAGCAGGAAACTCCTACGACCGCAGCCTGATTGGTTTCTTATTGCTGCTTAGCCACGTCCCCCGTCTTCCTGTGAAGTTGACGTTTAAGGGCAAAGAGGCGGGACTTTTATCTGCCTGCTCTGATTAGCCAGTCGCAGTAGCTTTCTGTGCGCTGGTTGGAGGCCTCAAATGTCAGTCACTGTCATCGGCCTTGGGAATGATTTGGCATGGGTTGCGTCTGCGTTCGTACTGGAGGCCGAGGTCTGAGGCCTAGCTGTCATGGTGGTTGCATATTGATACATTTTGAGTGTAATGGATTTATATCTGAAAGCTGCAATTAGAGTACATCTCTGAGTGATCGAAATATGTACATTGTCTGTGCTGAGCTGTGCTTTAGAGGCCTATTTCTCATAAAGGAATAACCATGGGCCCACACACACTTCGTGTCAGATCTGAGCTGCCCCAACAACAACATTGGCCAATAGTCATGTTGTGCACAGGCCAGCTCGACTAGATATAAATTGGTTGTTTTCCTAGTACTTTACACTACATAGGTGTTGGTAAACATTGTTGATGTGGCAGATCATATTGAAAGTACAATTTTGAAGGTTTCCTTATAAATCAAGGGCTTGGTAGGGAGGGCCCCCATAGACAAGACATGGGTCATATGATCCAGATGTTTTCATGTCTGTGGGTGGCTGGTAAAGTGGAGTTGAACTCAAAAAGTGAATATTTACTTTCTAATAGGGGCAATTACTTTAGATGTTTCCTAAGACCTCATGCACACGGACGCATGTCAATTTGGGTACATGCCCCCTCCCTGGAGGCTGACCATAGGCATCAATGGTTGTATAGCGAGTTTATGCCAGTCCTTATGTAAACACGTGCACACATATGAAAGTAGTGGTGTATACCTGCTCTACGGCTGCGCACAGCCATTTATCTCTATGGACAGCTGTATACAGCATTTGCGGCTTCACGGTTGGGGACATACACCAGAATTATTTGTGCACTCACAGGCCACTTTATTAGGTACACCTTGCTAGTACTGGGTGGACTCACTTTTGCCTTCAGAACTGCCTGAATTCTACGTGGCATAGATTCAACAAGGTGTTTGAAACATTCATCAGAGATTTTGGTCCATATTGACATGAAAGCATCACGGGCCCAAAGCGTGCCAAGAAAATATCCCCCACACCATTACACCACCAGCAGCCTGAACCGTTGATACAAGGCAGGATGGATCCATGCTTTCATGTGGTTTATGCCTAATTCTGACCCGACCATCACCACCCGACCATGACCACATTCAGTCTTAGCTGAAATCGAGACTCATCAGACCAGGCAACGTTTTTCCAATCTTCTGTTGTCCAATTTTGGTGAGCCTGTGCAAATTGTAGCCGCAGTTTCCTGTTCTTAGCTGACAGAAGTGGCACTCGGTTTGGTCTTGTGCTGCTGTAGCCCATCTGCTTCAAGGTTCAATGTGTTGTCTGTTCAGAGATGGTCTTCTGCATACTTCGGATGTAACGAGTGGTTATTTCAGTTACTGTTGCCTTTCTATCATCTTCTACCAGTCTGCCCATTCTCCTCTGACATCAACAAGGCGTTTTCGTCCACACAACTGCCGCTCACTGAATATATTCTCTTTTTTGGACCATTCTCTGTAAACCCTAGAGGTGGCTGTGTGTGAAAATCCCAGTGGAGCAGCAGTTGCTGAAATACTCAGACCAGCCCGTCTGGCACCAACAACCATGTCATGCTTAACCACTTGAAGTCCGGGGTGTTAAACCCCCTTCCCATCCAGGCTTTTTTTCAGTATTCAGCACTGCGGTACTTTGACTGACATTTATTCCGTCATGCAACGCTGCACTGAAATGAATTTTATACCCTTTTTTGGGGACAGATAGAGCTTTCTTTTGGTGGTATTTAATCACCACTGGGGTTTTTATTTTTTACTATATTAAGGAAAATGTACAGAAAAAAAAATCTGTTTTCCCTATATTAAATTCTAAAACCTTTATTATTACCATGCTATAGAGCCGCTGATCGGTTGTATGTGAAACAACCGTTAACAGCTGTAAAAACGAGCGGGTCTTTCCTGCCCGTGCAGGAGGTTAAAGTCACTTAAATCGCCTTTCTTCCCCATTCTGATGAACTTCAGCCAATCTTCTTCACCACATCTAGATGCCTAAATGCTTTGAGTTGCTGCCATGTGATTGGCTGATTAGCAATTTGTGTTACCAAGCAATTGACCTAATAATGTGGCCGGTGAGTGTATACTGCCTGTGTTCATGAGGTCTAAACAATACCCTACAAAATATACTTCTTTGTTTAAAATTCCCCCTGAGACCTAGTAGTGAATTTCCTGACCTATGACTGTGTCTAGGAGCTCCTGTTCTAGTAGATGGAGGGCCGGAGTTTGGCTACCCCTGGTTTACTGGTTCAGCTTTGCAGCTTCCCTTTATACTAAACCAAGCAAAGGCCGCTCTGAATAGTGAATCTGTATCATCACTTTGTCCAAAAGGTTTAATAGCTCCACAGCTTGTGTACAATTATGTGATGCAAATTTAGGGCTAAGCTACACAGGGGAGTTTAATCCCTTTGCTACTGATTTAAAGTGTGAATAAAGCGCACACAAGGGCGGCACCTTGTCTTCATGAAATATGTTTAATGAATTGAATAAAAGCAGTTAGAATTTTCCTCACAAAGCCAGTATAGTAGCGTACATGTATTGAACCACATCACCGATTTGTCTTCATATGGCAGAAGCAGCCCAATCAGCACCCACGGCGAAATAGAATATCGCTGGAACTGCCAGCTTGGGTCAAACTAACGTGTTTTGGGGGCGTACCTCTTTCCTCAGAGCATATAGAAGACCAAGATTGTATATACTCCTAATGAATGTTGGGGGGCATACTGGAAGTGGGTGGGATATATTGGGCAGCAAGCACCCTGCCACACTGCAAAAATGGTTTGAGGAACAAAACAATGTCTTGCAGGTGTTGACTTGGCCTCCAAATTCTGCAGACCTCAATCCAATCGAGCATCTGTGGGATGTGCTGGAAAAACAAAGCCTATCCATGGAGGCCGCACCTCACAATTTAGGACTACTTCCAGTATCTGCTACTGACGTCTTGGTGCCAGATACCACAGCATACCTTCAGAGGTCTAGTGGAGTCCATGACTCAATGGGTCAAAGGGGACCATGTCAATATTAGGCAGGTGGTCATAATGTTCTGGTTGATCGGTGTATATCATCACATCAAGGTATCTCATCAATGCAGAAAATTATGTTAATATGAGGTGCGCAAAAGGCTAATCTGATTTTTTTTTTTTTTTTTAATTATTGCACACTATACATCATGGATGTTCTTTTCAGTGATCCTTTGCATATTTTTTTTTTTTAGATTTACATTGTAGCGCTGGCACTTTTTTCACAGCACAGAACTTTTTACATCAGTCCGTGGTCTCTCTGTAGACACACAAGTATTAGGATAAGTTTGGGAGGAAGTCAGTAAACCAAGCAGTTTGTTTGTGCTGTTTTTGTACCTTGCGGCATGGTCTGGATTTTTTTCTCCACTAACCTAGTGACGAGTGTGAGAACTGTACATGTGAGATGTGGTCATATAGCTCTAGATGGATATAGCGAATGTTGATGTATTTTTCTTCCTACAGCTTTAAAAAGAGACCAGACAGACGTAATGTGTGGCAATGTGGCGTGTTTTGTGTCTGCAATGCCTTGAAGACAAAATGCAGACAAAGCACTGATTATACCATTGTAATACATTTACTGTAATGTTATATGTGCCAAAGAATTTGTATGTGTCCATTTATTTCTGAGGTAAAATAGGAACTTTAACCTTCTCTTAAAGATAACAACAAATACACCTTTTTAGAAATTTTTGGTAATGACAATCTACAAACAGATACTAATGGATAATTGTAGTTTTTTTTATTCTTTGCGTACCTTATTTTTCTTTTCCTTCCTGGTATTCTCACAGTGGCCATTTTTACTAAGGGCAGATGAATCCATCTCCATTTACCTCCTGGAACTCTGGGTCTGCCTCCTGGAACATGTGACAGTACAACATACCGTGTTTCCACGAAAATAAGACAGTGTCTTATATTTTTTATTCTACGAAAAAAGACACGGTCTTATTGTTGGGGGATGTCTTACCTGGCTGCAGCTGTCCGCTCTGCCGTCCAGAGGGGAAACACGGTATCATCTCGGGGGGGAATGCCTTTCCCTCAAGTTCTGGCAAGATTATGTAGTTTACAGGTGAGATTTCCCAGGATGCATCTGTGAGGCCAGGGCTGCATCACCAGTGCCTCACTCAACCCGTAACTGGAATTACATGGATTGTAAATTAAATTGCTAAATCACGGTTTATTTTAACACTATGTGTATGGATGGCTGGGGTGCGTGTGCGTCGCTTAGCTGGGAAGAAATGGCACCAGGATGCACTATAGGAAGATGGCGAGCCGGAGTAGGGATTGTGATGCGTTGGGCAATGTCCTGCTGGGAACATTGCCAGCAACAACAAAAAAAGCTTAATGAATATGAGATGATTTCATATCCACATGCAGAGCTCATTTTTAGTGAATGGGGGATAAAAGCCCTCTTTAAAGTGACATCAAAGTAAAAAAAATGTTCCCTCCCCTAATGTCAGCACTTACCTTAAATGATGTTTCTTAATCCGATCTTCTTCTTTCCCAATGTTTTCATGTGTCCCTCCAGCGGTGCGGCGGCTCTCCGATCCAGCGCTGACTCCTCTCTGCTTGCAGGCACTTCCGATCCAGCGGTGTCTGCAGGCGGGTGCACGCGTCCGTAGACTTACCTTGCGTCTCTGCTTGTCTCGCGGCCGAGAATCCCAACTGCGCATGCGCCCGCCCCAAGATCCTTTGCTACCGCATGAACAGTTCTGGACTCTCGCCGCGGGCAGCGATATCGAGGTAAGTCTTAACTGCTGTTAAAGCATTTTTAAAAAACTTTTTGCCTATATCTACTGCTTGTCAGCAGTAGATATAGGTAAAAAAACGGGAGGCCTTAGAACCCCTTAAGGACCACCGGATGCATTGGTCTGTGCGGAGCATCCTTTGCCCAATGCAGTCCCAACACATACACAAGGCAATTTGTCCTGTTTCCTATTATGTCAGTTCACACCACTGCATGGCTGTGGTGTGAGCTGAAAAAAATACAACATGCTGTACTTTTTAATTTAGTACTCGTATTCGCCCAAAGGCTCCGATGCCTTGCCCGATACTTCCGGTATCAGGAAGCCGGGCAGCGAGTCATTACACGCTGCCTGGCTTCCTTATTGGCCAGGAAGCCGGCTCCATGCTCTCTCGTCACTTGTGATGAGAGAGCAAGAAGCCAGCTTCCCAGCCAATCGGGAAGCCGGGAGCCGTGTAATGACACCACTACCGGCTTTCTGATTGGCCGTGAAGCTGGCTTGATGCTGCCTCGTCAGTTCATGACGAGAGAGCATGGAGCCGGCTTCCCGGCCAATCAGGGCGCCGGGTCCTTACATGGCTTCCGGATTGGCCAGAAAGCCAGCTCCATGCTTTCTCGCCACCTAGTGATGAGAAGCATGGGGACGGCTTCCCTGCTAATCGGGAAGCCAGGTGGCGAGTCTTTACACGCCGCCTGGCTTTTTTAATGGGACTTCCTGTATTGGTATTGGTGCCTCCCTACTTTTAATCATCGCCTTGCTCTGCTTCCTTAGTGCATTGGTGTACGCTGCTGGTGTTGATGGGCCCTTACATGCCCTTGCTGGCAACGTAGTCATGGCTGTGCCCTGACTTTTTTTTCTGTTGCAGTTAAGCAACACAGCTAGGTCACCACCTTTCCCTCCAGCCTGTGATTGGACCGTGAAGAAGAAGCAGTAGACCAATAATGTAATCTCTCATGTTTCAGCATGCTCCTTGTCAGCACATGCAGCACACTTGATTGGCCCAAAGGTGCTGCTCTTTCAACTCCCATTGTGAGTACAGCTGTGCAGGGCATTACAAGAACTTACACTGCAGTATTTACACCAATCGCATGTAATCCATACATGTAATGCTTTTTTTAATGAATTCATAACTTTTTTTTTTCTGTAATCTGTTTGGATTTCAGCCTTAAAGAAACACGGGCTGTAAAGAAGTACATTTATCTGTTCAAGTGAACTTTTGATACACATTTTATATTGATGTCTTCGTATTTCCACAGGTCGACTCGCACTACTGTCCCAGCTGTTTGGAGAATATGCCGTCAGCTGAAGCAAAGCTGAAGAAGAACAGGTTTGATATCTAATTTCTGTAAATTTACTAAAATTGCTAGCTCATGTGTACCAATAAAACAAACTTGTAAAACCAGGCTTTGGTTCTATTGGCCACACCTAGCCTGCAGCAGACTAGACACCGAGCTGTGATACTCGTGTCTGTTATGTAGTACATTGTTTATACAGTGGATGGAACCAGCACTGTGCACAGCAATTTCTTTGTTTTATTATACCTACAAAGCCACCAAAATTGATTACACCTACGGGAACAGTACTGGGGACCTATTATGCCTTAGGTCCACTGCCATTTAGTTTGCTTATCCATTTTGAAAGAGCACTGATGCAGCTGACATCAAAGATGTTTAAAGGGATTACAAGATGTTTTAATAGGCGTCAACATTAAGAACAAGCAAAGAGGACTGCAATGTGCAATACGCAGCATCACGGTGCATTCCTAAGCAAATAATAGCTGTGTACATGGCTCCCAAATTCTATATCCGCACAGTTATAGCACTATATTTTGCTAGCTTAGAATAATAGGGTTATGTGCATGTGTATGCACAGATAAGGCTTCAAGTTCTACAAATGAACATGAGCACAAAGAAAATAACATATTTCCACTTTTGCAGTCAAATTTGAGAAATCCCCACTAAGTTTGTGTTCCCATTCACACAGCATACCTAAAATAATGTAAAAAGAAATGTATTACCTTTTTAGATGTGTCTGTATAGAAGGCCTGTGGCGCTTCTCTGTACAATTTGAGGGCAAATTCCATCGTCTCCACAGAAGACTAGGGACAGACTGAGCGTATTTCCATTAACATACAATGCTTTTAGATCTGTAACCCTTTGTTAGGACATTGCTTAAATCTAGCTTACAACTGATAATGAGATATGCCAGCACAGCACAGACGGGGTTCATTATGGTGAACATTACAGAGGAAAAAATGAAGGAAGACAGTACAGATGCAATACAATTTTAATACAGGAGGGTTCAAAGGGCCCTGATCGTAAGAGCTTACAATCTTGAACCAGGCTGGCGCTTGACCAGTCCCTGCAGCCTCGCTCCACTCCCCTGTATTGGACGTGATGAGTCACAGGACCTTAAACTGCCGGAACGGAGGGGAAGAGAGGCTGCAGGGGACCGGTCTAACAGCCAGCCGGGTCAGAGATTCAGATGAGTATATCCCTTATTATTTTAACTCCCTAGACAAAATGAGCATTTAACCCTTGCAGTGCGGGGCTTGCATTTAGATCTGTGTGTAGTAATGTGAATTGAGGCCTAGCCTTTATGGCTGCATTTAGCAGATAAGATATTTTAGACTTTCTAACGTCTACTTATAGAGTTTGGGGTGATTCATGAATCTGGCAGCATAAACTGGTGTTTTAGATCTATTTTAATGTAAAAAACAAATCAGCTTTTGATCTGTAAACTGACTTTACAGATCATGCACCTAGCACTCCACTTGCTGGCTACCATAAAAAAAAAAATACAAATATTTATAGGCAATTTAAAAATCTGTTTATGTATATATTCCTCTGGTTTGTTATGTAGGTGTGCCAACTGTTTTGACTGCCCGTGCTGCATGCACACTCTCTCTACCCGTGCCACTAGCATTCCTGCTCCACTTCCAGATGACCCGGCCAAAACCACCATGAAAAAAGCTTATTACCTGGCTTGTGGATTTTGCCGCTGGACCTCTAGAGATGTCGGCATGGCAGATAAGTCTGTGGGTAAGTGTTAGATACTGCAGAATGTGTTCTATAATTTTTCTCACCCAATATCTGATGGGATTGATCTGTCAGATTAAAATGGACAAAATGTCATTGCAGTTGATATTAATGGGTTGAAGGAACCACATGAAGTATGGGAGCTGAGGTTACTAACTTGGTTTTTAAAGGTGCAGGCTCTGGGGCTGTCATTCTGATTCTTGCTCCATAACCTAATCTAACAAGTATGCAGTCTGTTAAATCTGAAATCCCGCCATGCTTGCTTGTTCCAGGGCTGTAACTTACTAGAGAATTTAGGCCTGGAGCCTGCACCTTGTATGTCAGCTCCTGTATTTTTATTCTCACTGGTTCCCTTTTGAAGAAAGCCTGTTCTGTGATAGATATGTAGGCTTGGCTTTCAAGGTGGTCTTCTTTGAGTCACAATTGCGGAGCTCCCGTTTTGCATGCTTATTTCAGGTCCGTTATTTAAAAGGTATGGAAGGTAGAGGGTTGGCTTTTGGACCAGAAAACAAGCTTTTCCAGAAGGACAGATCAGCAATGGGCAAACTTCATATTGCTTTAAGCCCAGGCTTCCTTTTACAGCCAACTCCAGGCCTCATCAGGTTCTTAAAATGTAAAGCACATACAATTGGGCTGCAATACTCCCCTTCAATCTGAAGCTGTATCCCACAATATCTTGTGGCTTTACCTTTGGGAGGCATATGATAGTTGAACAAGGTTAACCCACATCTATGTGTTAGGAAACCTTTGCTTTAGAAAAGACAATAGAGCTTCTTTGGCAAACCAGTGCAAGCATGACGTGCCAACAGTAGTGGCTATAGCAACCAGTAAGAGCATTTGTAGTATTGGTTCAGTATTGGTTCAATTCTAACACAGTGATTTTTTTTTTTTTTTTACATACTACTAATACGTAAAGCAATCCTTTCCTTTGCTAATGCTTACAGAAACTGCTGCCACTTAAGCATAATTCTAGTGGAAAAATCAGTGAACAAAAACTGCTCCAATCTGTCCCCATAGATCCAGTTATTCTCCCACTGGGTGATGCCAGCTTGCACTTAGAATAGAGAAGCTGTCAGCAGTCACCTCCTCAGACACCTCTGACCTTCCTGTTGCAGGTACATCCATTACAGGGGGTATTGTAAGGAAGATAATGTGGACTTGGCTGCAGACCTTTGACAAAAAGTTGAGATTATCATATTGATAACAATACTAATTAGACTGCACAGTGCTTAAAGCGGAACTCCTGGAATTTTTTTATTAAGGGTTAGGTGCTTGTTTGTGTCCTTGGTGCTAAAATAACAGTTATACTCACCCAAAGTTTTGAGCCAGCCAGCTGCCACGGTGCTCCCTACAGCCTGTCCCCTCCTCTGCAGCACATTGAAATGTTCCTCTGCGTCCTCGCGTGTGTGGCCACTGTATAGACGTGATGGTTTACTGGACCTTAGACTGCTACCGAGGAGGGGGAGAGATATTCCAGGGACCGGTCTAAGAAGTTGGCTCGGAGCTTTGAGTGAGTATTTCTTTGTGTTTTTTTTTTTTTTTTTTTTTTTTTACTGTGGATGTCGGCTGCCTCTTTCCATCTCTTCAGGTAATCTCAGACAGACTCCATGATGTTGAGATCAGGGCTCTATGGGGGCCAAACAATCACTTGCAGGACTCCTTGTTCTTTTTCTTTTCACTGAAGATAGTTCTTAATGACATTGGCTGCATGTTTGGGATCGTGGTCCTGCTGCAGAATAAATTTGGGCCAATCACACGCCTTTTCAGTTCCTATGTTTAGTTGTCACTTAGGCCCCGTTCACACTGAGCGATTTATCGCGCGGTAATTCCCGCGCGATATCGCTCTCCAATGCTTGGCAATGGGGCAAAGGGTCCTGCTGTCGCGGGTCGTGCGTCGCTACAGCAGGACCCTTTTTGGAGCGGATTGTGCCGCGATTCTAGCTTGCTCAATGCAAGCATTTGCGCAAAATGCAAATCGCGTGACAAACGCGCGATTTGCGAATCACGCAGTGTGACTGGGGCCTTAGCCTTGTTTTCACGTCAGAGGCATGGCTTTTTGGCCACAGAAACGTTGCAGCAGGTGGTCTGGACCGATTAATCAAAATTTTAGATATTTGCTGTAACAGTAGGCAGTTTGTTCGCCGAAGGGCTTGAGAGCGGTGCAATAATGATTGTCTGCAGCAACAGTGAAGCATGGTGGAGGCTGTTTGCAAGTCTGGGGCTGCATTTCTGCCAATGGAGTTGGAGATTTGGTAAGGATCAATGGTGTCCTCAATGCTGAGAAATACAAGCAGATACTTCTCCATCATACCATACCATCAGGGAGGCGTGTGATTGGCCCCAAATGTATTTTGCAGCAGAACCACAACCCCAAACATATACAGGCAATGCCATTAACGACTATCTTCAACGTAAAGCAGAAGGAGTCCTGGAAAGGAGCATTTAGAAGGATTTGAGGCAGCCGACATCCACAGAAGATCTTGGTCAGTGTGCAAGTGTACCTAGAAGAAGGCAAAGGGGGATCACACCAAATATTTGGATTTCCCTTCTGTTCATTTACTTTCCATTTTGTTAATTGATAAAAATAAACTAACACTTTATTTCTGAAAGCATTCTTACTTTACAGCATTTGTTTTCACACCTGCCTAAAACTTTTGCGCAGATATCTATATATATATATATACACACACACACACACAACACACACACCAACACACACACACACACACACACACACACACACACACACACACACACGGGAACTTGTGTGTTCTAATAGGGTTATTCACAAAAGGGTGAAAAGTTTGGAGAAGGCCGGAGAAGTGAACAATCTAGGGCAACATAGCTGATGTGGAAAAATCCTCCAATTCAGCTCACTTTCCAGTCCAGCTATGTTGTCCTAGATTGTTCACTTCTCGCGCCTTCTCCAAACTCTTCACTTTTTCATGAATAGCCCTGTAAATGTTACATGCTTATGAAATAGTTCATTTTAATGCCGTTCTGACTACTGATTTGGTTATTTGAGCTTTACAGTAGACTAAATTATCTAAACAATTGTTGTAAATCTCACATGTAAGCAATACCATTAAAGGAAGCGTCTTGTTTCTGTTTTACAGCTAGCGGCGGTTGGCAGGAACCGGAGAACCCGTACACCCAGAGGGTAAGAAAAATGGGCTACGATTCAAAAGTATGGTTACGTCCAAATAAGCATGCTTCACTGACTTTATACATACAAGTTGGCACTAAGCTTACTGGTTTCTGTGTTTGTGCCAGAATAATGCTATTACCTTAAAGTTACACTAAAATCTTCAAAATACATTCAAGTACCTTAACTATTAACAATACTGGACCTTATTTGTGTATAACTGAGCTGTAGATCCTCAAATCATCCTCTGAATTGGTGCGGACACTGTCCTGAAGGGTGGCTACTTATGTTCCCCATGATCCCTGTGTGTGTTGTAAAGTAGCCACCTCTCAAAGCTTGCTCCTGTGATGGACTTCAATCATGTTTTAGTTTACTAATTGCTAACGCGTTTGTAGTCAATCACAGGAGTGAGCTTGGAGTGGTGACTACTTTGCCACACCCACAGTTTAAGGGTATCCCTTAAACTCCAACGTTTCTGTATTATTCAGTGGCTAATGTGGTACAATACTCCTCTACACTATATAAGTTGTGAAGCATTGTTTATGAAAATAGTTTTCCTTCTGGTATTTTCGGTTTTGTGTTGCCTACTCAGCTAGTTTTTTTGGGGGGGGGTTTTGTGAGGTCATTATTAGAGTGATTCTATTGTGGGCCAAAGGTGCAGGTTAACTAAACTTGCATAGACACACAGCTGCGTTTTACTCTCCTGCCCTTTGCTTCCCTGATGCTCTGTTACTGAAGAAGAGAAGAAGCCTTGTGTAAGAGAAAGAAAGAGGAGTACAAGCATGGCGTTAATTAACTCAACCTACTAATTTGTCCTGCACAATAGTAAATTTCCATCAGGCCTTTAGAGGTGTCACAAACCTTGGCAAGGAGATCTGACACCACCTTGTGCTGGAGTATGACTGTAAAAGTCCTGTTGATACAAGGTGTTAACAGGACATGAAATGAGAGAAGATCTCCCCCGTGGGGTCATAGACAGCAATTACCTTTTTGTCTAAAATATATCAAAATATAAAAGTGCACCTGTGTTTTGCCCATGCTGGGCAGAACCAACAAGTACCAGTGCTGGTAAGCAAAATGAATCCTATGCTGTCCAAAAATGCACCTTTTTGGGAAACAGTCAGGCTACAAATGCTGGTGCCATTAATGACCTCTTTTGAAAGTACAAGGTCCAGGGATGCCATTCTTACATTTGCTTCTGGCACCTGATATATACTTGCTTGATTCAGATTAGTTGTTCATGAAGTCATGTAGAAAGATGATTGCTATGGAGCATGACAAAAACAAGTCAGCAGGGCTGCCTTCCATGCTTCTTATTTGACATGTTTCACCTTTTAAAATTATATTTTCTTGTGCTCCAATTTCACTTTTACTTTTATGTTTTTTTTTTTTGAAGATCAACAAACTTTTGGAGTACTACCAGCAACTGGCACAGAAAGAGAAGATTGAACGTGACCGTAAGAAGCTGGTACGACGCAGAAACTACATGCCCCTGGCATTTTCTGTAAGTGCTCCTTCTATTAAGTAATAGAATCAGTTGTTACCCCATAAACTTTAATTGTTGCAAGCTGTACTAAAATTGGGTGTTATATAGCGGCCTCAGTCCAATAAAACAAAGCTTATTGTGCAGAATGTTATCTGTTTGTGTGCTCCTGAATGTTAAAGCAAGAACCTCCCCTACAATGCTTTTTCAGAAACCAACATTTTCATAGCGGCTTTCATGAAGAATTCAAAAAAATAGAAACTGTATGTGCTCCCTACTCCTCTTCCGTAGCATTGTTTAATGAATTGAGCAGGTCTAAAACTGTAATAACAGTGACAAATCCTGCTCCCATAAACCAATAAGACATGTAACAGGTTGATGCAGTGATGGCGGAAACAGACCCAGTATGTTTGGTTTTTTTAATCTTTTACTACTTGCAGATCTTAGTAACATTGTGGCCAGGCAATGGCCATTGAAGTATTTACATATTCTTAACAAGCAGTAAATGATCCCCTAAAACAAGCCATCGCTGATCTCTGTAGCTGCAGATACTGTGGATCAATTCAACAGTTCACAGCGGAAGCAGTGAAGTCCTTTAGGTTGTTCTCTTAGCATTTCAGCCTGCCCTGCTTCCTTTTATGATTTGAGCCAGTGTGGTTGCTAACCAGCTGTCAGATCACTCAACACACACTCTTTCCACTTCTCAGTATTGCTAATTTAATATGTTGGGTGGTTGGAGTTAAAGTGACATTAAACCCTCAGATTTTTAAACATAAAACAATACTGTAATGTGTGCCTTACTGTAATCCATGGTTGTTTCCCTTCTCTTTGCTGCTCTTCCTTTTTAAATCTGTATCTGTTCTCATGCTGGGCAGAACTTCTGTTTTGCAGCAGACTGCCTTGTCTCTGAAATGGATACATGGTGTCTGTGTGTAGGTTTGCAACCTGAGCCAGCACTACAGGAAGAGGCACTCAGCTGCAAAGGGAAGTTCTCCCCTAGCATGAGAAGACATGAGGATTTAAAAGGAAGGGCAGCAAAGGGAAGGGAAACTACCATGGATTACAGTAAGGCACACATTACAGTATTGGTTTATGTTAACAAATCTGAGGGTTTAATGTCACTTTAAGATTGCTTTCCAGACCTTTAAATCCACCATTCTTTTGGAATCATAAGTGGAATAATCAAAGTAGAGAAATTGATTTGATGTGTCAGATGGACATGGCATTGTCAGTAACTGAACCTCAGATCTAGGTTTTGATTGCACAAAAACAGCAACATCTATCTAGTTGTAGCCAGATTGTGGATTTGTAATTTGCTGGTTTTATACAAAGGATAAAATCCTTATGATTTTGTGTCGGCTGTCCAATGCTTTACATTTTAAAGTACATGTAAAGTAAAACCAGACTATTGACATAAGTTCAAGTCATACTTGTACCTAATAGAACTGGTGATAATGATTTGACAATCTAGCGAAGGGTGTATGGGGGCATTTTGGCCAATCCATTGGAGGGCTAAGAACCCCCTGGTCTAGATGATGTTTTGGTTAAACCATTTACATCATTTGTAGAGTCACACCATCTTTGTCATCCTGCTTTTTTAAGAACTGTAGTCTCAAATTTGTATGCACAGATTTCCTGCTGATTTAAACAGAATTCAATCTGTATGTGGCCCTACTGGCACCTCCTAGTTCGACAAAAGATATTTTTAATCCAGTGTTGTCGAAGGAGCCGGCTGGAACATTTTTGACTGCCAGAATACAGTAGTAAGCAAGACAGATCTGTCCATCCTTGCTGTTTAGTATAGGACTCGTGAGACTCGTGAGAGTTACCATGGGGCTGAACGAGAAAAAAATCGTATGGCCAGATTAACAGATATGTATAAGAAGAGCCAGGACCACTCTGAAGGAGCTAGATAATATGTATTATAAGCCATGAATATCATCAACATATGTGGGAGCTCTCCTTTTAAAGTGTTTAATAACTTCATGAGCCCATAATGTCTACAGGGATGTGTTATGGTTCTTCTGTCTGACTCACTTTTGTTTTTGCCTTAATTGCTTTCTGGTTAATGTTGGGACTACTATACAGCAACACACTATTCATGTGGCGGTAAGTACCAGGCCTTTTCATGTCTCCGAGCTCACTATCTGCACCAAAGTAACGACCAACATACAGCTTTAGTCTAACAATGACAAACTCTGCTTCTCTGCCTCTTCAGAGAATGTTCTGTTAATGTCGTCATTGCTTGCTGTGCATGGTTAACATACATTGACACCACATGTTCACATGCTGTGCCACTAAAAGTGTCTGCCACTTACAGGACAAGTATGGTCGTGGTACGAGGCTGCAGCGTCAAAGACCAGGAGTTCCCATTACACCGCTATCTGGGCTGACGTAAGTACAGAATGGATATTGCAGATATATTGTGCAAGTTTACTAGGTGCTCTAACGTGCTAAACATTTAATGGGGATCGGTTCGCTGGTAAAAATAGTATATATGCTCAAAAGGGGATTTCCCTTTCCAAATGTAGCAGCTGCCATATAATAATGGGGAAAATTAAAACGGAAGAGATTTTTCCATGGTAAGAAAAAAAATTTCAGCAAGAAAAAGTGGGTAAAAAAAAGTTTGGCTGGAGCTGAGCCTTCATCTTATAGGGTGATCATATAAATACATGGCTTTTAATAGTATAACGCTAAACGCTCTGTGTAATCTATTTACAGGGCTGGCTAAAACTAAAGGAAAAGAAAGTGTGCTTTCTACATCAAAGCCTAAATAGGAAAACCTAATCCAAGCATAACTGGACCTGGGTGCATGTTACAATGTATCTCTTTCAACCATTTAGCACAGGGTCAGAAGAGCCATCAGTGGTCTGGAGCAGGGGTATAGCCCATATGAGTTTTGTGTCCAACCTCCTGCAAGCAGTGCTTGTATCCCATTAGTCATGGTGTGTTCCCTGCAAAAACCGAAACATTTGTGCTTCCTAGAGAAGTCAAGAAAACACAAATGATGTTTTGAAGTTTTATGTATAGAATGGAAATATTAGAACTCCTGTTAGCTTCTTAAGGCCTGGTTCACACCTGGGCATTTTACAGCACGTTCCTACGCTCTGTAAAACGCTCAACATGTGAAAACCAATGATTGCCTATGGGCATGGTTCCCACCTGGGCGTTTTACAGCGCGTAGGAACGCGCTGCAAAACGCCCTACGCCCACATAAGTACAGGAGCTTTTTTTGGGGGTGTATTTGCCGTGCGTATCCATTGGGATACAGCCAGGTAGCCCTCGGAAACGCATGTTTGTCGCGCGTTTTTTTACAGCAAATTGCTGTAAAAACGCGCGGCACGAAACTCGCATATGTGATACGCCTAGGTGTGAACCCAGCCTAAAGCTATGTCGATATTTGGGAGATTTCTCTTCTTTGGTCTCAGGGAGGAAATCTGTCCAATGGGGACTTACAGGATAATTAAAATATTTTAGGTTTAGTTTTTTTTTGTGGGCGGGGGGGGGTTTGCCTGGATACAAAGGACTACTTTTACATTTTAGTCTGTTTATTAGTCTGTTTATGAAATGGTTTTTGAAAGTTTAGAAACAGCCACCATGCTTCACGGATCCGATGGTTACTCTCCTTGAACCGCCAATAAACATTCCAATATCATCAAGATTACTGGTGATAGAGCATTCTTTTGGACACCGTTACTGCCCCTCCTGATGGAGTGTGGTGCACTCATTCCTAGTGCTTCACTGTAGCTTTTTATTTGTCTGTCCTACTGAGGAAATGTCCCCTCACTTCAGAACAGTGAATGAATCTCCTTAACAGAAAAACAAAGTTGGTGTTGTGAATGGTAAAATCAAGACTTTACTCATGTATCTGATAATGGGTGATGTCACTCTCGAGAATAAAACACCCCAGGTATACATGGAATTGACTGATGTGGGCTATACATTTTGACATTTAAGCCCAGTATGTAATGTGCTTAATCCTTTTTTGCATGTGGACACCTCAGGTAAACCTTAAGTTTATAGTTTCCCTTGTCATACTGGGTAATGGTTGATGTAGATTCTTCTCTTTCCAGTCTGAAAGAAGGGGAAGATCAGAAGGAGATAAAGATTGAGCCAGCACAGGCGGTGGATGAAGTGGAGCCTCTCCCTGAAGACTATTACACCAGGCCCATTAATCTAACTGAAGGTAACGGCTTCTGCTAGATGGTGGCAGGATTACTGCACTGCTTTTTTTATGCTGGCATTGGATGCCAGATATCTCTCAATGAGAATAGTTGGTGGGTGGATACCTGTCTGTTCTTGAATGGCTCTCTGCACTGCTGGATCCCCCACAATCCTTGTCTGATGGTAATAGAAGTGCTTATGGTACCTTTGGTCTTCAAATCTTCTTTGTAGAACAGAAGGACCAGCCTGGTCTCCATAGATATCTGGTAAAACCCCCTAACTTAAACATTCAACCCCCTGAGGCTTTTGTTATCACTTTAAATAGGAGAATATAGGGATTGATAATCAAAAGGATCATTGCTTGATTTTATTGAGCTTTTTATAGACCGAGTTTGGAAGGTAACCCTTCATGATTCTCCAATGATCTATGTGTTGTGGTCATCAGAGTGATGTATGAGTGATGTACAGCTGTACTTTTTTTGGTGATCTACCTTTTAAGCATTAGAGCTTGTCATTGGTTGACCTCTGCTAGTTCTGGTGCAGACACATCACTAGGTATAATTCTGCAGAGAGCCCAGCTCCTTGACTAGCACTGCTCCTGAGTATTGACAGCCACATATCAGATTTTGTCTGTCTGTTGAGAGGTATAGAGGGCTGTGCTGAGGCAAGGCATTGAATGCTTATTCTTTTTATACAGAAAGTGTGCTCATATTGATTCTTATAAGCAATACAATTCTCATAGAGCTGAAATCAAAGCAGATTTAAATAATGCCTTTTAATGTGGCTGTTCCTTTTAAAATTGTGTTTTTTTTGCATACAATTAACATGAAGACCTGAGTCTAGATTGATTTTGGCATTCTGTCTCCTGCTTCACAGCAGCATGCACACACGGAGAAGGAGGGACAACTAAATGAGCCACTTAGGTCCTGCAGCATGTGCAGGCAGAGTCAGAGTTGATGCCTTTTTAGTATGTTTCTACTCGTTCCTTGTCCAAACAGCAGACTTGCGGTTAGGTGGGCAATACCAATGTACTCCTTATCGCTAATAAGGAAAGTGCTATGCTTTGCAGCAGAGTTGCATCACAAAAATGGCTGGATAGAATTAGAAATCCATTAGCAGGTAACACTTCACACATGTGTAGTTCAACTGCGTATTTAGCTTTTTGCCTGGAGTCCAGCTTTAATGAGTCGTTTCTGGGCAAAGTGACTAGGGTATGCTGATAGCCCTCCCCAGCAAACTGTGCTAACCTGTCCCCACTCCATCTGAGGCTTGGCTTCATTTCTGTAGTAGAGTGGGGATTCCAGTTATGGGGGGGAGCTTGTAACCTTCCCCATGTGACAACACTCGTGCCGAATAGCCACTTAACTGACACGATCAGTGTCAAGTGGGGAGGAAAAGTGCAACAGCCACCTGGGTACCCTCCACCATCCAAGGCTTACTCAGGGAGGCTGGGAGGGAGCATAGATTATTGACTATAACTTGTGAAGTGGGCTATCAGCAGACACTGTTATGCTGCCCCGAATGCACAAAGTGACAGCGTCTCTTTTAGTCCTCTTAGTTTTTATCGTGGTTGCCTGAATGTTGAGTGGTGGCTTCTTAATCCTGTTATCAGCATCTTAAGTCCCTTATACTCCTCTTCTTGTGACAGTTACTACCCTGGACCAGCGCCTGCTACAGCCTGACTTTCAACCTATTTGTGCCTCTCAGCTTCACCCACGCCACAAGCATCTCCTCATCAAGCGATCTCTCCGATGCCGGGTATGTAGTGAAATACTAACATAGGAAGGGGGAAAGTGCCTATATAATCAGTGTGATAAATGTTTATCATTGTGTTTTCCAGAAATGTGAGCATAATCTGAGCAAACCAGAATTTAACCCCACATCTATAAAATTTAAGATTCAGCTGGTTGCAGTGTAAGTATCGCAATACCTTCTGGCTGTATGATATAACCTGTGAAAAATATCTGTTGATGTAATTAACCATATGGGAATGTATTGAGGTTTTGTATATACATGATATGGCCACAATTGTATGTATATCCCTCTAAATTTAGTTCAGGTGATTCCAGTGAAGGGTACTGTTAATGTTACAGCATACAGAGACCTTTTTGGACATTTGTGACCTTCTACTCTTCTGGCAAAGGTTTGTGAAAGGTCCTTTTTAGTTTCAGCATAACTTTACTGCTGTACACAAAGCCAGCTCCATAAAGAACTCAAGTGGGCTGCACAGAACCCTGACCTCACCCCAACTGAGCACCTTTGTGATGAATTGGAATGTCGATGGTGAGCCAGTCTAATCACCCAACATCAGTAGTTGACATTGCAAATGCTCTTTTGGCTAAATGGGCACACTTCTAAGTCTTGTGGAAAACATTCCCAGATGAGTGAAAGCTGTTAGTAAAAAAAAAAAAAAAATGAGATGTCCAGAAATCTCATGTAAGTGAAATGGTCAGATATCCACAAATGTTTGGCTGTATAATGTATTGTCTTATGATCTGTGCTAAAAATACCATTTAAAAAAATTATTTGTCAGGTAAATAAAAAAAATGCATTTATTTATATATTGTTTATTTGGAGCAGTACCTGAAGCTGAAATTTTCCCACATGTGAATAGAGCTGAGCAGTGCCTCCTCCACTATCTCCATGTGAGGTTTCCAAGACTGTGTCTGAAAGGAAACTGCTCCTGCCCTGCCCTTGGGAAACCATGGTTCTCTGGCAATCCAGTGTCATGGGTGAATTCTCTATTGAATGTTATAAACAAAATTTGAGTGAGAAATGGATATTAAAACATCAGTTTAAAATCTACTAGTCCGTTTTACAGTGGAAAAACAATTTGTAAATGAAACTCGCCAATGTGTGTTGTGCGGCGTTGCAACAGATACAAAGTAGCCATGACATTTGGTAAGATAGATCTATCTATATCTATATATAGATAGATCTATCTATCGCTTGTCCATGAATATATGCTACTAGAGGTTTGGACAAAATTAAAACGGTCACAGCTGCAAATCCTACCTAAAGCTTACTCTGGTTCTATAGGTGGGTCAGCCATGCTGGATCTGAAGTAGTAATATTTATCATCCTAATTTGTTTTCCATCATTGTTTTCTGCAGGAGCTATGTGCCAGAAGTGAGAATTATGTCAATTCCAAACTTGCGCAACCTGAAGGTCTGTATTGCTTTGCCTTTATGATGTACTGTTGAATTTCCTAAACTACTAAAAACTAAGTGAAGAGCACTTAATACTAAATACTTATGTTGCATGGATACCGAGTATTAGGGCGAATACTCGTACTCGCCCAAAAGCTCCAAATGCCTATCCTGATACTGAACTTCCAGTATCGGGAAGCAGGGCGGCGAGTCATTTCACACTGCTTGGCTTCCTCGTTGGCCGGGAAGCCACCTCATCCTCCCTCTTAACGAGGGAGCATGGAGCTGGCTTCCTGGCCAATCAGGAAGCTGGGGGGTGGGTAATGATTATCCTCCCTGATTGGCTGGGAAGCCGGCTCTATTGCTCCCTCGTCACTTGGTGATAAGGGAGCATGGAGATGGCTTCCTGGCTAATTGGGAAGCCAGGCGGCGAGTCATTGCATACTGCCCGGCTTTCTTAATGGGACTTTTGGTAATGGCGAGTACTGAAAAAAAAATATCGGTACTTGTACTCGATACCGAAAAAAATGATATTGGTGCATCTCTACTAAAGACAAAATCATTGTCACACATAGTAGGCAGAGATATGCGCATCATTCCTATGTGTCCCGAGTGCTACTGTGTTTTGCAGAGCCACTATACTTGTTCATCTTCATGTTATTTTATGCAGTCTTGTAGGCATATTCTGGTCTGATTAAGCACTAAAAGGCATTAACAAACCCCAGTAACCATATAACCAGAGTGCCTAAAACACTTTGCTCCTTCACAAAGTAAACCTACACCTTTTTAAAATAGAGTAATTGAACAAACTCCTGCAGGTTCTTGGCCTGATTTTAAATGTCACTTTAATTGTAACTGAAGCAAAGTCCTAGATCTAGACAAATTTGCTTGGCTGCATAAGAGCATTGTATAGTTGTAGTCCTTCTGTCATGCATCTGGTGCTGTTATAAAGTTAAAACTCACACTTTGCCATAGGGTGACATTTGTTATAGCTGTTTCAAGGGATGGCTGACAAAGTAGCGGATAGCTGCTACTTTGCCAAAAGGTTTGGATTTATGCCCATCCAGTTCTGAGATTAACACAGCATAGCCCTGCCTTGCAGGACAGGAGAACTGTTTTTTATTTGCTGCAGTTGAGTAATACCAGCAGGGCAATCGGCATCGTCACTGCTGATTCACAAGCCTGTAGCTTGTCAATCGACACCTGGCTTCCCACTTCTTTTTGGATTGACAACACTGTCCATGTTGTTGAAAAGCTTTTACTGTGAGCTGCATTGCCTGATAGGGGGAGCATGTGAGACACAAATGAAGGATTTGACTCGGTCAGGGAAGGCTAAAGAAGTTTACTTTGATGCTTGTAGTTCACATAGTAATTGGATTTGATATTTGTCTAGACTGTCATACAGGAGCGTTTAGTTGTGCTTAAAAAAATGAATGTTGTAATACAGAACTGCATTACTTCTCCTGTAAGTGAAGTTCATGTTCTATTAATTACAATATTTATTTGTTACAGGAGAGCCAGGTTCTGCTTACTCTGACTAACCCTGTAGAGAGCGTCACTCATGTGACGCTAATGCCATGTGAAGAGGGGGATCCCCATGACATCAACAATACTGCTAAGGTATACTCTTTACATAACAACCATTTTTTATTTTTAATACTTTAGCCTATAGGTAAAAGTAAATACGTGGTCATGGCATTAAACGCTTCCCGGCCAGCCGTTGTACAAAAATCGGCCAGCTGGGAGCTTCCTGGATGTAACAGGCCGTGTGTATATGGCCTGTTAGCCCCGCCCACTCGTTGACAGAGCGCACGGGAAAGACAGGCAGCGATACAACTTAACATACAAGCTATAGAGCCGGCGGATCGCTTGTATAAGCTGCCGGCCCGTGTCTACCCCCACCCCCTCCTGTTATCACGCTGGTCCTGGGCTCCACTGTGCCCGGTGCAAGCCCAGGACCAGCACAGTGCCTCTCTGACGGGATCAGAGGGAGGTCAGTACACGATCTCCCTCCGGTGTCAGAATGCGGAAGTGATGTATATTACCTCACTTCCGTATTCTCGTGTCACTCTTCAGATGCTGGAGAGAAGCTGATGAAGCAGACCTCTGCTTCATCATCTTCTTTGGGGGTTCCCAGGTGACATTAGGGGTCTTGGAGACAGACCAGACGCGTCAGGTGCGCATACCTGCGAAAACGACGATTGCGCCCATTACCCTGCACATGTTACATATCACTGAGAACGCCGCAGTGAGAGCAATCATTCTAGGGTCATCAATCACGGATAACACTAAACTGATGAGCTGTAAAAGCTTTTAAATCGTCGCCTATGGCCAATTTTGGGTATGGTAGTTTTTCGTTGGTGCGCGCAATTTGAAAGCTTGACATGTTTGGTGTCTATTTACCCGACGTGACCCCGTCTTTTATATTTTTACCAAAAAAATTTGTAATAATAATTGTTTCCTAACATAATGTAAGAAACACTTCTTCTTTTTTTTTGTTTTTTTTTCCTCAAATTTCCAGTAATTTTTTCTTTATAGTAAAAAATAAAACCCCAGTGGTGATTAAATAACACCAAAAGAAAGCTCTGTGTCTCCAAAAAATTGTATAAAATGTATTTCAGTACAGCTTTGTATGACGGAATAAATGTCAAAGTACTGCAGCGCTGAATGCTGACAAATGGCCTGGTTCCTCGGTCAGCAAGTGGTTAAAATAGGCCCTTTTTTTTATTTTTATTTTTTTATTCTAATTTGCTTAGTATTAAAAGTAGGCTCCCATTGTGAGGAATTTCCCTTCGCGGTTTGTTGTGCCACTGGAGCAAGAAGCTGCAATAGACTCCAGTGAGATAGGATAGTCATGGGATCTTCTGTCAAGTTTTTGTTGGTGGCTGAGTTCAAATTGAGTTTTTTGTTTTTTTTGTTTTGTTTTTTTATTTCCTGTTTTGTCAAATGCATAGAGAGTGAGGAGAGATCTCGCCAACAGCAACTGAAAATGATTTAACACTTTCTCATTCTATCCAAAGATTTAAAAAAAAGTGAATGGCTGGACTACCTGTTCCGCTGCCTGTGCCTCCGTACTCTTCTGGGTTGGAGAGCAAAACTCCCTTAAAGGCCTATTGTATTTGGCTCTTCCAGGAGTGTCAGAAGTGCACTCTGATTTCCTCCGCCAGTACCAGTGTCACTACAGGACATGGGCTGACAGAAGGAACCACGGCGCACAGCAGGGGACCAGGCATGTGACACACGTGGAAAGATATTTGAGCAAGCTCCACTCTTCAGCCTAGAAGTTTTGCAGTGCAGACCGAAGGACAGGTTAAGTTTTATTTTCTTTCTTTTTAGGGAGGGCTATGTTTCCACTTTTGAACACGACGACTGAGGTGCTATTTACTAGATACTGTTAGTATACAGAAATACATAGTACAACCTTTTTGCCATTACAGGTGGTTGTGCCTACAAAGGAGCTGGTCCTGGCTGGCAAAGATGCAGCTGCAGAGTATGATGAGTTGGCAGAGCCACAGGACTTCCAGGATGATCCAGAGTAAGTGTTCCCTGCTGACTTTATCATGACTGTCTTGTATGATGACCTCCTGGTCCCATGTTGTACAGTCACTCCTAATCGTTATCCTTTATTTCTGTCTGTGGATTCTGTATTGTTACATGACTGATGCTGATTTTATTTTTCGCAGTGTTGTCGCCTTCCGGAAGGCCAATAAAGTGGGGGTGTTTATCAAAGTTACCCCTCTGCAAGAGAAAGGAAAAGTGATTGTAAGCTTTAAGCTTAAGCACGACTTCAGAAACCTTGCCACTCCCATCAGACCCGCAGAAGACAATGAGAGCGCCTCTGAGGCTGTGTGGCTGACACATCATGTGGAGCTTGACTTGGGGCCTGTTGTACAGACGGCCCCCTAGAATCTGCAGTGTTTTGTTCAGTATAGGAACATGTTTCTGGGGTATATGTTCATCTTTACCTGGAGACTACATGTGGAGAAAGAGCTACATAGTGCACTTGTGCTTGGAGGTTGCTGGCTAGCTCTGTCTGTAAGCAGTAATTGTTGGAATTCACTACTAGGTCACCCCTGATCCCCTTAACACTGAAACAATAGACAATATAGCTGTGAAACACATGACATGTATGTTCCGTATTATGTACTAGAGATACACAGTTGGGCAATTAAGAATCCTGCTGCGACTCAACCAACTGCTTTCAGCTACAGCCAAAATGCCAGTTTTGGATTGACTTGTCTTTAAATAACTCAGGTCCCTTCATGTATTTGTATTTTGGTTATAGAAGTTCTGTGCAGAGTAGAAGAAACTATGGGTGGACTCCTCACGGTATCCAATCAGAAGCGGACTTTCATGAGACTGACTAATGCAGAAAAATCCCTTCTGATTGGCTGCTGTGGGATCCTCTTTATTATTGCTACTTGCGTCATGTACCTTACCTACAAATTAGTATTTTATTTATGTTTATGAATCAGTTTACACTTCTATAAAAGCTGTTTTTGCAGATAATCCAAACAAGTTGTTCAAAAGCCTCACCATCCATTTCTGTGTGCTGTTTTTGTAGGGCAGCATAGAAAATAAAAAGCCATTTTATCATGGGCGCCACAATTTTTTGTCATTTATCTATTCTACTAAACAATTTTTCTAAATGTCCCTAATATATTTTAACCATTTATTACATTAGTTATTTAGTACATTGCATTCTATCCCCCACTGGGAGCTTAGGAAGGTGTTTTTATGAAGAGTGGATGAGAGCTGGTAGATTATGTTGGGTATTGGGGTTTTAGAAGGAAGAACTGTTGGCTGTAGCAGCCAATCGGCTTTCTTTCTAGCAGTGCAGTATGGGGAATGAAAGGAAAGATCTAGTAAGTATGGAAACTATGTAGTACGTTCTTCAGAAATAAGGATAAATAAGGCCTGTTCTGCCATTTTATTGTACAGTTTGAGCTTTAAACCTCACAAAACAGCTTCTGTAGTAGTGAGTGAAAGCTCTTCTGTTTACCTGTACAGGCTTGTGGTTGAGCATTTGTATAGGTTTTACAGCTCATGTCTTCACTATCTTCATGTTACACGCAATCACCTTAGTGGTTCACCATCCTTTAAAGGGTAGATACTATTTACCTATGTCAGATGCTTACAAGAATGTAACATACTTGGGACTGCTTTATTTTTGGATAACACTAAATATATTATTGTCCTTTAAAATAATTCAGTAATCCTGGACTGAAGATGATTTTAAGCTCCCCTTCTGTAGGCTCTCCCACTTTTTTCTGTCCATTCCCATTGCAGGAGCCATTTGTGCCTTGACATTATCTTGGAAAGGGTAATATTGAGATGACAGCATGATGACCATTATGTCGCCTTTCCATTTAAAAAGAAGGTAATCTTGTAGTTTGGTTGTAGATACTATGAGGTGTCTATTCCTACCTTATCTGTTCTTTCCTTCCGCTCCCTGTTTTTGGGCTCTCGTAGACTCCCCCACTGTTCAGAATTGGGTGCCTTTGTTTACTTGGCTGCTTTGTAAGTTTAAAGGAGAATTACGGGGAGAGTGAAATACACTCATCCCCATAATTGGAGCCGACGTGTGGCACTGAAGCTGTCGCACTTCAGCTCTGTAGATGGAGAACTGAGCGATCGCATACCACTGATCACTCAGTTCCCGATCTTCTCCCTGCAGATAGCTGTGACAGTCAGTCATCGCTCACCGCAGGGATTCCCTCTCTCCGTTCCCCCAGTGCTGACTGGAGGGATAGATGTGAAAGGGGACAGGCCCAGTTGGCTCTGCCTCCAGAGAGGCAGAGCCAGCTGTCAATCAGGGTGAATCCTGACAATATTATCTAGATATGTCTAGGCTGTGATGCGGCTCTGCGCGTTCAGCATACAGCAGGCAAGAGCTCGCTATATGCTGAGTTTTGAGTCGCAAGAGGACATTAGTAAGTGTCCTCCTGTGACCTTTAGGAGAACTACGGCCAAAAAAAGGTTGGGCCATAGTTCTCTTTTTTTTAAAACTTTCATAAAGTGGCAACTGGCCCCGGAATGTTAGGGGATTCCTGCTGTCGTTCACAGTGGCAAGGAGCATAGACCTAGAAGGATCAGTCATTTCATGGAGCCTGTTTTCAACCTTGTCCCCCTTTTTATCCATTCCAGCAAGACTGTTAAAGAAGCTTCATGCAAAGTTTAGATTATAGGCCCAATTTAATGTAAATGCCAGCTTTGTTTGCAAACCTCAGCCCCATTCATGTCTGTCATATCATGCACTGATTTTATCAAGCTTAATTTCAGATTCCTACCATTCCTGTTTTGGAGAAATTACAACCCTTCTCTTCCTGTAGTGACATTTTTTGGTTGTGGGTATATTTATGCTTTTAAAATGCACATTCTAGAGTAGTTGTGTTGTTGGGATTGTGATCGGTCTGAAAGATGCTGGGTTGTTCCCGTAGAATACATTCTGTACATGGGAAGGTATAGGCAAGCCTGTCACATGTATTGTAGAACAGACTGTAACAGCGTAGAGATTATAGTTCAGGCTGCCATTGTGTTATTACCAACAGTAGGAAATTAGCCGTTTTTTTGCCCCTTTCTAGGTAGATCTCCAGCTCTACATAACAGACCTTCATGGAGATGGTATGAGCTCTCAGCACCATAGATTATTCAGGATGGTGGCATCCACATTGAGTATTACACTTAATCAAGACACCAACTGACTGCCAAACATTTTACCTTTCCTTAAAAGTGAACTGCTGCATGTCCATGGGCTTTCTTCTTGATGGGTTATCCTTTATATGTAGTTAATTATCCATGGTGTTAAGTAGAAGGGTAGCTGAACTGTTTGCCCAGCTTCTAGGTAATCCCCTATCCACAGAAAGCCATATTATGTTTACACTGTCACCGCACCTACAGCATGACTTACAGGCTTGGCCTATATTTATTATGAGATAATAGTATTAACATAAAGTGTCTGCAGCCTGTATTAGCTATGTCGGCACACAGCTTTCTGCTGTGGATTCTTTTTTTTTTTTTTTTTTTGCCTTAGAAAATATATAATTACTGTATTGGTCTGTGAATACACGTCGACTCTACTGTAGATGAGCAGTTTTTTTTTCCTAAAGGGCTGTTCTAAAGAAATAATACACAACATTGTATAGCTGCATATCTTTTTGTCATGGCAAGTTCAATCTGTTTGGTCCTGTGGCTGCTGATTAAGCAGTAGTTTGGACGTTGTTTCTGGACTGGGATCTTTGGCGTATTTCTTGATGAGGTCCTGTTCACAACAACATTGGCTTTTAAACGCTTGTCTGAAGAGAGATGTGTACAGAAGGCATTTGACGAGCATTTACTGTACAAAGTATTTCTTTTTTCTTTCAGCTTTGCAGTACTTTCTGGTATTGTGCAAACACTGGACTTGAGTTTAATTTATTTTTTGTTTTTACACAGCGCACAACAATTAATACCATATGTAGTGGTTTGCGCTGCAGCATGGGTCCATTGGCACTTACTGTACTTGCATATTGGGGTACCATTCTAAATTAATGGCACCATGAAAAATGCTGCTCTTGAAGTAAAATGCATGTTTTACTCCATGTTAACGCAACTCATATGTCTAAGGGGCCCTTAAAGGAAGCTTGTGACCGGTTCAAAGAAACTCCAGTAACACTAGTAATCTTTGTATAACCTTCAGTACTTTAGTATTGTCTCAATATCTTGACAGTCCTCCCTAGGTGCCCCAAAAGAAACACAATCTTAGGGGTATAGGGTGAACCCACACAATTCCCTATATATTCTGCCATTCAGTTATTCTTAGGTCTGTGCATTATTATCCAGGTTTCAATAAAGTTTTTTTGTAGGTTTTTTTTTTTTACACACACAACATACACACAACGCACTGGTTGTTGCCTTAGGGACCAATCACCAGACCCAACAATTGTTGAGTGCTGAGTATATCTAGCAGTATGCAAACTTTGACTTCCACAAAGTCAATATTTGCATAGATTCTTGGAAATGGGGCTCCTGGGTCACATCAGGGAAGCAGGACAGGTCTGTTGAAGTGAACCTATGCTTTGCCCAAGCAGGATAAAGCAACAAGTTCACTTTAATGTCAGGCACATTCTCACCTTTGCTTTGCTCTGTTCACCACCGGGAGCAAAGAAATATCTGGCACATCCAGATTTAGGGATCATGTGACCACTTCAACAAAATTGCTTAAAGCTTGTTTAATGTTGTGCTAAAGGTGTATAAATGCTTTCTGTACCTAATGTTATTCAGTTACTAGCATTTACAAGCAAATGCCTAATGTGAAAGGGCCCTTACTAGTAACAAGGCTTGTTCCGTCTGGGGCTCATCTGTTACCTTGTGACAAAGAACACTTTGCACTGGCACTCAAAAAAATTCTACAGAATGATTAACAACTGGGTACATTTCAGAGACAAATTGTATGATTCATCATGCTTCCATGTAATGTTGTGACTACAGTAATGTCAATAAAGTAATAAAAAAAATTTGTATGCTTTTTTTTTTTTTTTATTATTATAAGAGATCTGGAATCCAGAAAGTTAATAGATTCACAAAGCTTTCTTCTTGTCTGGGCTGGGGGCACATTTATGTTAGCATTGTTTCCCATTGTCCATTGAGGGACACAGAAATTCAAAAATAGTCGGGTTATACGGCCATCTCCAGGAGGTTGGGACATTGGCAAACAGAAAAATTCTAAGCCAGGCCCTTCATAACCCCTTCTCTAAAACCATAGTCCTTCGAACTGCAAGACCCAGCTGTTGTTCCCTATACAAAAAGTGCAATAATATAAAGTGCTAGTGTGCTTTTTGTATTGTTCACATTAGGGATGTCTCGATACCATTTTTTTCAAGACCAAGTACGTTCCCCTCATGTACTCACTGATGGCAATTACTGATACTTTTAAAGGGACATGTGACATTTTTTCTAAAACAATACGGACTAATTCATTTTTTCTAAAACAATAGGGCAAATTCTCACCTCGCCAGGGTTGCATGTGGGTCTCTCCAGGGTTCTGTGGGTGGGTGCCGGCCTGAAAGGGTAGGTGGTGACCTGAATGGGCAGGTGCCAGCTCTGGGGCTGTATGTGTTGTGTGGGGCTGTCCAGAGCTGTACCTGTGCCGGGAAGAAGATACTGGCCCTTTTACATTTTTAAGCCTGATCGGCTGCCTAAAGTCCCACGCTTGTGGGGACCTCAGGCAGCCTGCTGGGGACTTGGCAGTAGCTGTCTTTGACGGTACTTGCCCGTTCCCACATCTCCTCTTTCCCGGCACAGGCACAGCTCTGGACAGCCCCACACCATACATACAGGCCCGAAGCTGGCATAAGACTGGCACCCGCCCCGTTCAGCTCACCATCCCACCCTTTCAGCCCAGCACCTGCCGGCCGAGCCCTGGAGAAACCTACATGCAGGCCTGATGAGACCTGTATGTATCCCTGGTGAGAAACTGCCGTAAAATCATTAGTCTGTATTGTTTTAGAAAAAATGTCACATGTCCCTTTAAGAAAAAGTATTGGTAATTGGTGTCGGTGAGTACCTGAGGGAAAGTACTTGTACTTTGTCTTGGAAAAAATGGTATCGGAACATCCCTATTAAATACATACACTGAGAGGCCAGATTATTATGACCACCTGACGTTTGTAGGCGAATTAGCTATAATTAGATATAATTTTGCGCTGAAGTTGCTAGAGGGTCAGACCATTATAAATAGGGAAGCAGGTTGTTTACAACGATGGTAGAAGTGATTTGTTTATGAAGATATGGGTAAACAATGCGATTTAACAGCCTTTGAACGTGGGATGATTGTTGGCGCTCGGAGCCATGGAACGAGTATCAGCAAAACAGCAGAATTTGTTAAATGTTCAAGAGCAGCTGTTGTTAGTGTTTAAAGACTGGACTGTCAGCGGAAAATCTGGGTCTGAACGTGCGAATTGTGGCCGTCAGCGACTAGTCAATGTTAGGGCAGAACGGAGAGTGGCAAGACTGGTACAAGACAGTGCAGTGTCAGATTCCTCGCATTACCTTTCAACATCTTGTGGAGTCACGAGGCGGCCCAACGAAGTCATCTCGTGGCCCAACGAAGTACTGATGGGATGTTTTACGTGCACAGATTTTTACTTCTGCCCAACTAATTTTGAGATGTTGTACCCCGTTACACCATGCTGCGCTGAAAAAAGTACAGCAACTGTACCCATTAAAACAAGGCAAATTGCCTTTTCTGTGTGGCCAGGCTTTTACACCTCCCTACCACACAGCACAGCCGGAAATCTGCTCTAGTTATGTAACCCAGGTCTTGTCCCTTCCCCATTCTGTGACTGGGTAGTGAAGAAGAAGAAGAAGAAGAAGCAGGCTATTTAGCTCATCTCTCTACTTGTTCCACATGTGAGCTTGTTACTTGCCAGCATATTTACATGCAGTGCTCTTGATTGGCTCTGAGTACTACCCCTCTTTCCCAGTATGGGAGCTTCTGAATAGAGGATTGCAAAAGAAACATAAGAGAGCAGGTGGCCAGGAGATCTAATTTTATCGAATGGTCCATTTTGAGACTGTAAAAAAAGAAGTCTTGTGAAACTTTTACAAGTCCCAGATGGCGATAATGCTCTGAAATAGCCTCCAGTCAAGCATCCTTGTATGTCATATTAATGTGCTGCAATATTTTATGATGCTCGCTATAAAAAGCCACTCTCCAGAAAGATTTCTTTCCAGCAAAGAAATGCTGGCGGGGAATATGGTAATGAATGTATTCTGTATATTGCATTTGATGTGTTATCGGTAGGAACAGCCTGGAAGGCAAGGTAAAGATGTAAAAAGGTGTAAAAAAAAGTGGTATAGAATTAGACATAATAGCCAGTGAGCTGCAAAAGACGCTTTTATTAAGCTTTAAAGTTAGATTTAAGTTTGCACATACAAAAATAAGGAGTTAAATGCAAGTTGTGTACATGGATTTCATTTCCAATGGTTATTTGATAGCCTTGGTGGACACAGATTAAGCATAGATAAAGCTTTGAATAGAAAAATAGAAAAAGGTATATCAAATGCTATGCCTCCAGATTAAAATGTTGAAAGCAAATTTGTTTTTCAAAACAGTATTAGAAACGTTCGGTATTATAAAATCCTTTTCAAGAAGTTAGGCTGGCCAAAAATGTGAAGGAGAACTCTCAAGTATAACTTTAAGCACACTATAATTTCACATTTTCCTTCTAACCCACACATGCAACCCACACATGCAAAGGTTTGAATTTTAGATGCAGTGTGTGACTCTCAGTATACACAGGTAGATTTTAGCACGAAGGATCCCAAGAAAAATACAGTCGGAACATTTAATATTGGCATCAAAAATTGCCGTTTATCGTTCATTTCATTTTCACCTTTTGATTAACTTTTTATTTTGAAATGAATTGAGTTTCCAGATGAAAACCACACTGACTGTTAAAAATTTGTTCGGTCGAGAATTTCCCAACATGCTCCGAAGATTTTCGGGAACATTGTCGTTTTTGTCTGTCGATTGCACAACAGATATTTGAATGAACGTTCCGAAACCACTACTTTCATACAAAATTCGAACCATGTATATTCTACTTTAGGGAAAGTATGAGAAAGCTCCCGCCAGAGTTGAAGTTAAAGGACCACAGTCTAAAAACAGACTGCCAGGCGAGTTAGATTCTAAAACTTGCTCTACTGTGTGTGAATGTGTGAGGTTCTGCCATTGATATGAAATCATTTCCTCTGTGGCATAGACTGATGTGAGTGTCTCAACAATTTGTTGATTTAAATTAAATAGTGATTGATCACAAAAATCCATCCCAGAAAATTGTTTCATTACCCAAAAGTGCTCAGCCAAACTCAGTGCCTAGAGGTCAAGGAGGGTCTACAAATGTAGGATTGTTACCCAGTTTGACCATGATCCCTAATAGAACCAGTCTTCCCTCTGGTGAACAGGACATCATGAATGGTCATTACTGCATCCCCTAGGATCTCTTGATACCCTATGACCTAACAACCACTGTACCCGGCACAAAAAAAAAATAAGGTGGCTAAAAGTCTAAAAAGGACTTATTGGTGTGGGGCCTTTAAAATATAATTATTTCCTGAGTTACATTACCAGCAGAAGAACCAAGAGAGATATGTACAATGGGTGCAAAATAAAGTGGAGGTGACAACCAGGCCTACATGCCACGTATTTAGTACGTCAATTACTATGCACATGTAAGCAAACCTTTAAAGAGGTACCTTTTTAGAAATGTTATTATTCATTTAAAAAAACCACTCCCAATTGGGCACTAACTCAATTGGTGATTCAGCCAGTGAAGATAAGAAACTTGTGTATTCTAAAACAAGTAATTATTGGTATCGTTTATACCTCTATTGTCTCCAGTTCACAATCTTTTGTAACTTTATGTTTCAGAGACCTTAAATTGATTGCCATTACATTATTATTCTTTGTACGCTGAGGCAATGATAATGTTTGACAGAGGACGACTGAGCTGGGGACAAGAAGTTAAATGCACCACAGGCCAGCACTAACAAGATACAGTATGTATGTCGGGTTGGTGGTCCGTAATGGAGATACTTTACCATTCAGACATCAATCAGAGCTGGAGCCGCAGCATTTATTAGAGGGAAGACTGGCAGCACAGACTCCCTTTGCAGGTCCAGCACCATGACCACTTTGCATGGTACATATTCTCTAGCCCACGTAAACCTGTCTCTGCCATGAAAGGGCTAGATGGTTGTGTTTGCCTCTGGGGTCAAAGGTTCCCAGTTTTCCCCTGATGCTTCACTATGTTAAAATCAGTAAAGGGTAACTGTATTGTAAAAATTAATTTTCCTGTAGCGAAGCTCTAACTTTACAATATATTAAAGTAAACCTAAAACAATGCTGCAAAATTAAGTGCACTGCATATACTCGGCAGACACCCTCCAGTGCCACATTCCACTGTTATACGGCCTGCCTGGCTTCCAACCAGAGCCTCCTAAAAATGCTAAATTTCTGAAATTGAGAGATGTGCATTTACCCTACTCCTTCTCAGACCTATAAACAGGTCTGAATACTATCATATGGAAGGTGGAAGGCGTACCTAGCCTTATGTAAAAGGGGTGGCCAGACTCTGTAGATGTAGCACTGGAAGTAGCCACTATCCAACTGCAGTGTTACTTTTTAGCATCAAACAGACATACTTGAAAGTATAGTCTGAGCATTAGTGTATACATACTCATCACTTAATGCAAATATTTATATATGAATTACTTTAAAGCATAGCAATGTGAAGCAAGCAGTATGCATTGTCCTAACGACCCCAAATAGGTCTACAAGTCTCCTGATTCAGGTACATAGGTTGTTGCCCACCCCCGAGGTGCCCTGTTGAAGCTGGGTCTAAGGAACATAAGTTGTCCAATGGGTGATTCTTCAATTTCCGCTTGAATCTCCTCAAAACTATAGGGATCTACTCCACCACCTACAGATAGACTTCCAAAGGGTAATGGTGCTCTGGAAAAAATTAAGACAAAAACATTATCAATAAACATTGTTCATTTCATTTGACGTGTATGTTTGCAAATGAAAACAAATCAGCCATAATGGATGACAGGCTTTGCAAAAATATAATTGTGACCAGTTGTACAGGGCATGAGAACTCCTGAACATATGTGTAAGGCCTGATGGAGCCCCTTTACATGTTACACAAGCTTTACCACTCTCTGTAAGTCCCTCCTAGATTTCCTTTTCATGACCCTGTAAAGCCACATTTATTTCATTTTAAATCGGTTGTAGGAGCTCATGTAAAAGGTGGCATGTTAGTTTCTGGTATCTGATACCTGACACTGCTTATCTTGCCACAAGGCAATCTGCAGATGTATATATGGAGGCTGCTCTAGTTGGCCTCTCCTTAAAAATTTACAAGTTTCTTGACTTTCATGCTGATCCAATGGCCCCAGTGTTTTCTAGGTCTAGGTTGGAACAAGTATGCAGATTAGAAGTCTTAATTTCATTCTGGCTTTACAAACCGGCATGCTTGTTCTGGGATTTTCTTGAAGTCAGAGCCAGGCATTTACTAAAGGTGGTGAGCAATGGCAGCCTCTGTATTTCTTTTGGAGCGTTTTTTTTAACCTTCCTGCTAGCCCAAGTCTAACATTTAGGGGCTGATGTATACATTTTTCTCCCAGCGTTTAGCTGTTCGCACAGCATTACAGCTGCCAAATGGAGCCAAGGAGCTTAGGAGAATCCTATTGGTCAATCTATTGACAACCAAAAAAAGAACTGACAGTAGTCCTAACAGTTGCTAATTCTATCCAAAACAGAAAATACATGAAAACAATACAATAACGTTTTGGATAGAAATACAATTAATCTGGACCCTAACACTTAGCTATGACTTAACTGCTTCTTTGGTCCAGTCACAACAGGTCACCAACACACGCACAGATGAATTTAATATCTCTTTGATATGTTTATTGAAGAATGTCACAGCATGTCATTAGAAGCTCATGCTAGCGTTTTGGAACCTCGCAGGGACCCTTCATCAGAGCGACATAATGACTTCTTCAGTCCAGTCTAGTGAAGTAGGTTGATTTAGGTTCCCTCTTCTGTTGACCATGACAGGAGCCTGAGCATTTAGTCATATGATCTCTGCTTAAAGTAGTATTAAACTTTTAAACTTGTTTTCAATAATGAATCCAGATCAAACAAATAAACATTGCCCAGCAAAGCATTGCTTTACATTTTTGCACAAACAACTACAATCACCTTTTTTCTGGACTGCTACTTCCAAGTCTTCCAGCCCAGCTTCCCTGCACTTTCTGTCCAGTGCAAGATCACAAAGGACAGAGCAGTCTCCAGCAACTGTTCATCTACTAGCTTGGAGAAGGGAGGGGAGGGGGCCAGGGGGGGGGGGAGTAGCATGATTTGCTGTGTATGGGGAGGGGGGGGGGGGGGGCGCGGGGGGGGGGGGAAGAAGTAGCTGGATTTGCTGTGTCTGTGTATTTTCTGGAGACACACACAGCTTACTAGCACACGCAAGGGTGACTGTAGAGCACTCTGCTTGAGAAAGGATGCACTCTAAAACAGGATATCAAGACCAGTGCTCAGGTGACCAGCTGATTCTGCAGGAAACTAAAACTTTTAAACATCAAGGAGCAGCATCCATTGTAAATGATGTGAGTAGCATTTGAAATAGCTTAAAATCTTTTAACTTGATCACTTTCAGGGGTGAATGAGCAAATCTGAACTTTGATCCTCCATGTTGACAGTGAACATGTCACAAAATACCTGTTTTAGACATGTAGGAGCTGAGAAGAGCATTTCCTTCTCTAAAATAGTATAGTACAGTACAGTATAGTGTGTAGTTTAGTATAGTATAGTAGTATATAGTATTTGATCATTGGTCTATTTTGCTGCAACCTTTTACGACTCATCTTTTATTGAAGGATCATAGACTTGCCTGTTATGTGAGCGGTGTTTGACATTTATGGGTGTTTGCGGAGGTGGTGGTAATGATTCTTCGGTAGGTATGACATGCTCCACTAAGTGTCCCCCAATCCAAGGGCAATAATAAGGGGTGGCTGTGTTGTTGAACTTCTCATATGGCATCCCCTTTAAAGGTCCAGAGTAACCTGGTATTGGAAAAACAGAAACTCAATATACAACACAATCATCCGGGTGCATTTATTAAAATAGACACAATTAGAAGAAGAGGAGGCAGCATATCACATGCATGCCAACAGTCATGCCAACATGTCTGTGGATAGTCACTTTTTTGTGGTGGAGACAGTGGAGCTCACTGGAACAAAAAGTTAAGGCATAGCACTTTCCTCCCAAGCTCCAGTGCAGGGATTGTGTAGGAGCCCTATTCACCCCCCACGAATATGAAAAGCCTTGCCCTACTTATAACATACGTTAGGCAAATGCAACAGAACTGCAGTCAGGAAGGGGGACAGCGCAGTGTGCAAACGTGCAAAGTTGACTCCCTTTAATTGATAGCCGTGTTAAACAAAGGGTGGGAGGGCACAGTACACTTCCCTTTACTAAGACAGGGAACTATTAATGCTTAAAACATCTTAAGGCCCCCTTCAGATGAGAGTAGGGAAAATACAAGAACATTTTGGAGCAGACAGGGTTTTTGGATGTAGACAGAGTTAGATAGGGATCTTGGGTGTGGTTAGGACAAACCCTGCTTGGAAGTAGATGTGTCAAATGGGCCTGTCTGTTACCCTGTAATGTATTAAAGAAGAACTATGGGGTCAGTGCTTTTCCCCATAGTTCTCCTTAGGGTAACGGGAGGACACAAACTAGCGTCCTCCCGTTACCCTAAGCTCAGTATACCGTGAGCTACAGCTCGCGGTATACTGAGACGCTGCAGCCGGAGCGGATCACGACTTAGCTAACGGGATCCGCCCAGCTGCGTGAGTGACAGCTGGCTCTGCCTATCTAGAGGCAGAGCCAGCTGTACCCGCCCCCTCCCCCGTCCGTTCCGCCAGTCAGCGCTGGCAGATCGGAGCGGGGAGAGGGGAATTCAGCCCCTCCCCCTGTCACGGCAGAGAGCCGTGACAGGATCGAGAGGCGAGTGAACCCGGTATGTGTTCGCTCACCTCCCGATCTACTGAGCCGACCTGTGACAGTCTCATTGTCACACGTCGGCTAGAACTATGAGGTGAGTGAAAAGCACACACCTCATAGTTCTCCTTTAATTCACACTTACCTGAAGCAATCATGTCTGGATTCAACTGCATCTTCATCTGCAAGACCTTGGCAGATTTCTCAGGGATGTTTGGTGGAGTCCGATTTTCTCCAGGGACTATGTGTATCTCTGAGCGGAAGTTCTCTTTCCCATCAACTCCTGCTGAGCCAGAGAGGCCATTGACAGCTGTCTGATGAGCGTTCAAGGCGTGTGCATTGCTACCTGGCTGATAAATGAAGAGACATTGTATTACATGGCTTCAGTAATCCCAAACAAAAATGACCTTATGTGAAAAGAATTCCACTTCCCAAATATACAGTATGTGTGTATGTATTGCAATTCAGACCTACACAGAGATGGGAGTCCTAACATTTATGTAATTTTGCTGTGAAGTTTATTGTTCTGTCAGCCGCCATTTTAGGTGGATAAAACGAAAAGATCTGGATTAACATGCAGTACTGTATGCTGGTTGGTGGAAACTAAACCTATAAAGACCCCCAACCTGCTGCAGATCATTTCTCAGCCTGGGTTTCATGATGGAGATAACAATGGGCCATGGCTGCGCAATGTGCTGCAACAAGGCCACCGCCACGGGCAACAATGACAGAGTGATAGCAGATGAGCCTAATTGGGAAACAGGCACAGCAAGATGTCACCCTCTCACTAGAGATTTTAGTGATTAGGTTTACATACTATACCATAATGGTAAATACTGACAACCTGTCCAATGCTAAGCTGCAATGACTTCCTAGGGGTTTGCATTATTCCAATTTTTCATAAGCATTTGTGAGTGTTAGAAAGCACTGGGATACATAAAGAGGGTATATGGGTGGTAAATGCTTACACCTTAGTGGGTACATGAGATATACTGACCAGGGGATACTTTTAATGATTTCTTGTAATAATGGTACACAATACAATAACTCTGAAAAACACGCTTGCAGAATTGACCAGAACAATTCATTTTAATACTGGGTTGCTATTGCTACGCTCCTTCTAAACACGCTTCCTTCCTGGCTGTTATATTGACAGTATTGCTTGAATACTTTTTGGGTCACTGACCTGCAACGAATATTTATATCAGAAAATTCAGAATTCTTTATGTGCATACTTGCACTGGGTTGGTGACACAAACTAGAGAAGCCAGAGCATCAGTGAGACAACCAGGAAACTACCATTTGCATAATGGGAAGCCAGCAATGGCAACCTTTATGTTTTCTTCTTTATTAAAGATAAAAATGATTGCAGCGTGTATTCATTAATAAACCATTATACACATTTTTTTTAAAAAAGCAAACAGTATTAGTACCTTAATTTGACCTGCTATCAGCCTTTTGCAGTCCCTGTACAGCAGAGCTCAGACATGTAGAGTGAAGAGCAGTACTAAGAGTCAATCATTTGTGCTGCAGTGCTCATGCTCTAGCAAGGGCCATGTAGCTAGGAGTAGAGAGATGAGCTTAGTAGCCTGCTGCTTCACTTTTCAATGTCCTATCACTAACTGGGGGATGGGATGGGAACAGCAAGTGTTGCTTAACTGCAACAGAGAATAGCAGGTCTCCTGACTTGCCAGACAGAACTGTTCTGTGTGTCATAACTTTGCAAATCTCAAAGTGGATGGACAGAAGTGCAAATAATTGGCAGGCAAGACAGCTTTCATATATGTATATCATATCTGTAATTTTCTTGCTTGGAGTTCAGCATTGCAAAACTTTACTCACATGAATCCGATCTGATGGGTATTCAAATGTATACCTCTGAACACGCTTCTGGCGCTCCAAGTACATACAAGAGCCACGGTTGTGTTGTAATGTGAGCTCTTCCATCATTAAATCACGCGGGATACTGACCTTCTTACCCAGGTCCAAAGTAGGGCCTACAAGAACAGGAAAAACAAATTAGGAGCCATGCTCACCTCTCGGCCTCTAGGCACACCAGACTGTAGATAATACCATTGGGCTGTTAGTCTGGCCGCTGTATTTTTAAGTGTGTTAAACCGCAGTTTTCCATTTAAAGGAGAACTATGGGGTCAGTGTTTTTCCCCATAGTTCTCCTTAGGGTAACGGGAGGACACAAACTAGCGCCCTCCCGTTACCCCAAGCTCAGTATATCGCGAGCTACAGCTCGTGGTATACTGAGACGCCGCAGCCGGAGCGGATCCCGACTTAGATGACGGGATCCGCCCAGCTGCGTGAGTGACAGCTGGCTCTGCCTATCTAGAGGCAGAGCCAGCTGTACCCGTCCCGTCCATTCCACCAGTCAGTGCTGGCAGATCGGAGCGGGGAGAGGGGAATCCAGCCCCCCTGCCGTGACAGGATCGAGAGGTGAGTGAACCCGGTATGTGTTCGCTCACCTCCCGATCTACTGAGCCGACCTGTGACAGTCTCATTGTCACAGGTCGGCTAGAACTATGAGGTGAGTGAAAAGCACTCACCTCATAGTTCTCCTTTAAGTAAATTCAAGGGTAGTCTTAAAAAATAAACCTCAATGGGTGTCAGTCCAAATCAATGTTCATTAAAGTGTCTATAAAGCCTGTCAATGAACATCTCCTATTTAGTTCCTCCTGGTCTGTTAAATATACCATTGAATGTCTTTTATTATGTGTTTTTAAGTTGATCCTGCCAGAAATCATATGAACTGACAATTTTTTATACTTTATGCCTGTGCTGACTGCTATCAGTTACATTGTTGTTTGAGGACTATAGGACCGTGCCTCTCTATGTTATGGTATGGACAGTATGAGAGGGGTTCAGCTTTCTAATCCTGCTTCTATTGACAATGATACAGAATGTAGAGTGAACATTGTCATCCTGGGACAGGAAGTTTGTAACTGGCAGAATCACCAGATGAAAATAAAGGGGGGGAAAGCTTAAAAAAAAGAAAACAAATACAGGCATCACATCTAAGGATTGGAAAGCTGCAGTATATTAAATTTTTGTTTTGGGATTTAGATACATCTGTTCTTGTATGAAGAAGTCCTTCTATACACCGATCAGACTAAACACAGTCTAGTCACTAGATGGCAGTATTTACCTTTCTAAAACGCAGGGATAACTGCCATTCCACTCTGAAGAGGACAGCATGCATCCTGTCTAATGATTGTCTCAGAAAAGCAATAAATATCCTGCGTCACTGAATTTAACAGCACCCTCCGAAATTTGAAGGGGCCATCCCAAATTCGGTGAACAAATGCCATCTTCTATGCACACATGTGAAGAAGGACATCTTTGTGCAAAATAAATATGTATTTTCCTGGTTTTGCTTGCCTGAAATGTTGCTGGTTGGCATAATGGGATTTGTAGTTAAAGCAAAGTTGGAGGGCGAGAGTTGCTCACCCCTATCCTATTCAGTGGTGTTTAAAAATCCAAACGCCCAGACCTTAATACTACTTTAATATAGCATATAAAACTGCTACACAATCCATTTTGTAATTTAATGTAAATAAAAATGATCTTTACTTTTCAATATGTAGTTACTGTAATTTTTTTAAACTGCCAAAAAATTTAAGTCGTGTTGTAAACCTGGTGTATGAAATGCTACCAGAAATGTAATTTCTGTTAGTATTCAATTCTGCTTGTGTGATTGGCTCACTGATTTTCCCAGAAGTTGACACTAAGATGAAGAACAATTTTAGACACCCCCTGCAATAGGAATTGAATTATTGGTGGGATAAATATGCCTACTAGATGCAATTTATTAGAACATTGAGTGGACCAAGTGGATATAATGAAGGCTGACCCTCCCATTCAGACGTCAGCCTGGAAAAGACACGGTGAAACAAACTGCTATTTCTTTAGAACAGAAAAAGGAAGGAATCTGTCTTACATCTGAGTTTCACTTAAAAAAGATTTTTTATGCAACTAGAAGCTGGGAACTTGCTATGGCTGGATTTACTATTAAGCGTGGTAGGTCAGAGTGTATAGCAGGGGTCTCTAAGTAACTGGCCTGCAGCCCACAGATGGCAGGGTCACTTATATGAGGGTTGAGCCTGCACCGGGCCATATCAGGTCAGCAGGGGGGCCCGAGAACAGAGAGGGGGCTCTTACCTTTTGCAGAAGTCAGGGGAGTAGCTATGGATGCCACTTTGTCTGGGATTCACCTGGACAGTCCGGGTTTTGAGTCCTGTTTGTGCTATGTCCGGGTTTCAAGCCAGCTGAAACCTGGACACATGATGTCATGATGTCAGGCGCACAAGGGCAACCACGGAGTCCTGGCATTCCAACTTGAATGCATGGTGGTGGCACGGGACATGGAGGGATGCTGGAATTTAGGGAGCAAGGAGGTGTCTGAAACACAGGGTGCAGATAGGTCTTGAGGGCATAGGGGTTCTGCTTCAGGCAGATGTGTTGTTTGCTAATTCTCCTCACTTTCTCTTCTGGCTGTCTCTCCTCACTCTCCTGTCTGTCTCTCCTCACTCATCCTCCTGGCTGTCTCTCCTGGCTCTCTCTTCTCACTCTCTGCCCTAGCTCTCCTCATTCTCTCTCCTGGCTGTCTCTCTTCGCTCTCTTGGCTGTCTCTCCTCACTCTCTCCTGGCTGTCTCTCCTCGCACTCTCTCCTGGCTGTCTCTCCTCGCTCATCCATCTGGTTTTCTCTCCTGTCTTTCTCTCCTCACTCTTTTCACTGGCTCTCTCTCCTCACTTTCTCTCTCGGATGTCTCTCCTTGCTCTCTCTCCTGGCTGTCTCTGCTCACTCTCTATCCTGGCTATCTCTCCTTGCTCTCTCTCTTTCCTGGCTGTCTCTCCTCACTCATCTTCCTGGCTGTCTCTCCTCGCTCTCTCCTCTAGCTTTCTCTCTTCACTCTGTCTCCTGGCTGTCCCTCCTCGCTCTCTCCCCTGACTGTTTCTCCTTGCTCTCTCCCCGACTGTCTTTCATCGCTCCCTCTCCTGGCTGCCTCTCCTTGCTCTCTCCCCTGGCTGCCTCTCCTTGCTCTCTACCCTGGCTGTCTCTCCTCACTCTCTCACTCTCTCCCCTGGCTGTCTCTCCTCACTCTCTGTCCTGGCTATCTCTCCTCGCTCTCTCTCTTTCCTGGCTGTCTCTCCTCGCTCATACTCCTGGCTGTATCTCCTGGCTCTCTCCTCACTCTCTCCCCTAGCTCTCTCTCCTCACTCTGTCTCCTGGCTGTCTCTCCTCACTCTCTCTCCTGGCTGCCTCTCCTTGCTCTCTCCGCTGGCTGTCTCTCCTCTCTCTCTGTCCTGGCTGTCTCTCCTCTCTCTCTGTCCTGGCTGTTTCTCCTCTCTCTCTCTGTCCTGGCTGTCTCTGCTCATGCAGCCCCCATGGAAGAAGAAACCATGCACAGTGGCCCCAGGTCATTTGAGTTTCAGAACCCTGGTCTATAGGCAGTAGAAAAAAGAGGTTGCTTTCCTCTGTTTACTAATAGAAATACATGTATCTCATATAAGCTTATTTACACATTGTCAGAATATTCTAAGCTAGGCTCGGCTCAATAAAAAAGGAAATTCTAGCAGTGGGACATAGCCTTGGGTACCAAATGCTGTGTGTTTAGAGGCTCGGGTAATGGAATTTCAGGGGGAGGTTGGTGGGACATCATATAACCCATGCCTTTATAAAAATGCCTTGATATACAAGCAATGTCTTGCAATAAGAGCAAAATTATGTAGAAAAGCGCCACCCGAATAAGGCTGTAGCAGTGCGAGCGATGAGTCTGTGTAACAAAAATGCAATGTCACATTGGATAGATTCCTTGCTAAGGTTTCACGAAATGAAAAATATTCCATTGAGCCGAGAGATAGCAGTGATTGCATTAGTGATAGTGAAAGTTGTCCTACACAATAATCCTCCTCTCTCTTGTCCCTCTCACACCGGCCACAAAGGTACCTGTAATTGGTTTATTTTTCTTTATATTTTGTACAGTATTATATTACAGTATTGTAATCATTTTATATGAATATTTTTGGGTTGTGGAACGAATCATCTGAATTTCCATTATTTCCTATGGGGAAATTCGCTTTGATATACAAGCGCTTTGGATTACAAGCATGCTGCCGGAACGAATTATGCTCGTAAACCAAGGTGTCACTGTATTTATATATCTTGGCTATGATAATAAATCGAATTAAGTTTTCAATAAACCATTTACTTTTTTTTAATAGCAAAAATAAAAATAAAAAAGCATTTACACTAATGAACTAGGGAATGTTTTAAAAATGTCTCCTGTTAACCTCACTTTGTGCGTGGTTTGTACCTCTGATTACCTTACACCTTCAGTGGCATATCCAGGGCATGGTGTCCTACTACTGGACTCTGATGTAAAGGGGGCCTCTAGGGACGCTTATATAAGGTGGGACTCTGGAGACTCTGATGTAAGGGGGAACAACAAGGACTGTAAAGTAATGGGGGAACTCTGGGGACTGAGTCCCCCTTACAACAGAGTCTGATGTAAGCGGGGACTCTAATGTTAGGGGGTTCTTTGATGTAAAGGAGAGCTCTAGTGACTCTTATGTAAGGGGGAACTGTGAAGTGAGGGACTCTGGTGATTCTGATGTAAGGGGGACTCTGATGCGATATTATGGTAAATTAATCTAAAATATGGGTGTCTGTTTTTGGAAAGGGGTGCAATTTCAGTGTTTGCCATAGGTGCTATTTTCTGTAGATACGCCTCTTTACACCTTATAGTCTGAATGACCAATCTCTATTTAATTCCCTTCACATATAACAAAACGTTTTAGTAGAAGCCCTACATAAACAATCCATTCAATTTGAATCTAGTCAGGGTAGGCTTTTGTGCTACATAACTATTGGTACATCTCAAGAGGATTGTTCAATAACTTTTGTATGGCCAGGCTACTAGCTTGGTTGCTTCTCTTAAATTCCACTATTGGTTATACATGCAGTGTCAAGATTGTGATAAGCTGAGTATTCAGACCTTCCCTTTTTATGTTCAGACACCCAGGACATGACTGGTACACTTGTTTTAACAACTTCTTATGAATTCACAAAAGAACTCGGATTGTGAAATGCTCACCTTCCCCTCTTATTTCTCGAACTATTGCAGATGCCAAACCTTTCCTCTCCTTCACCAGATCTGCATACGTGGGAAACATTCTCCTGGCTAGGAAGAAAAAAGAATAATTATACCACAAGGATTTCATGTAATCCCCTTTCTTCTACAAGATCATTTAATATTTCAACTGCACATCTAAGAGATTTAGGATAGGAAAAGAGAGATAGCTGTTTATGTCTGTGCTTGGCTATAGGTCAGAGTTTTGTAAAGTCTCAGACAGGAAGCCAAGTGTATCTCTATTGGGTTCAAATAAACTATTCATTGTATTTGCCTTTTAAAGAAGAACTCCAGACAGAAATAAACCCCCCCCCCCCCGCCCCCCCGTATTGCAAGGGTTAATTGCTCATTTTAATCTACGATTTAAACTAAAAAAAAGAAATACCTGAACCACAGACCCGCCTGGCTGCTAGGCCGGTCCCTTCAGCCTCACTCCCAGGGCCGGTGCTGCCACTAGGCAAACTAGGCAGCCGCCTAGGGCGTACTGCTGCCTAGGGCGCAGCTTCAAACACTCACCCCTCCCATGGCAACCCCCCCATCTTTTTTAAATTGCAAATTGCAGGCTGGTTATTGTACCCACCCACTGAGCAGAGGAGCGGAACTAAGAGACAACTTTTTCTCTCCACTCATCTGCTCAGTGGGAGGGTTTCAATAGCCGATCTGCTATTGGCTATTTCAAATTAAAATAGCCAATAGCAATCTGGCTATTGCTCCTGGCTGCTTACATTACACTCCCCCTCCGCTCCAGCAGTCTAAGGACCTGTGAGTCATCACATACTATACACCAAGGGACATTCTATTGCCAGAGCAGAAGAGGAGAGAGGCTGCAGGGAACGGTCTAGCAGCCAGGCAGGTCCATGGTTTGGGTATTTCTTTTCTATTTTACCTATTTTGACGGAAAACAAGCATTTATCCCTTGCCATGCTAGGGTTAAGCAGTAAAAATCTGATAGAGGTTCTAAATCTTTTCCACTCTATCAAGAACTAGAAAGAACCCGTATATGTATATCTATGTTTGTTTTCAATAAAAATGTATACGAGAAAAAACTAAAAATACGTTTTTAGCTTGACATGCACGTTAAAATGGAGATTTTACACTTCTGAAGAATAACCTGAATTAGTTCCAAGATTAAATAAAAGTACAAAATGCAGGCTATGGACCATTTCCTCTCCTAGTTTATAGCTACAATAAGGTGACCTTCTTAAGTATTCAAAATTAAGGAAATAAGAAAAGAATTGCAAATTAGATCTGTCACAGTTTACAAACAGATGTGCGTTGTTCTCCTGTGTTTGGAATACATGTGAAACGCAGGTCAGCAAAATCCCATTTGAACTGCAGGCAAAACAGATCAAAAGGAATGATATGCATGGCACTGCCCATTGTCCTGAAATGAGGACTAATCCTTTTATATTTTTGGGATACGTGATTAAATGAGACATGTGAATACCTTCTGTTCTAAGATGGCTTTACTGAGCTACACAGTGATTAGGTTGGGGGCTTTTTTATAAATGCATTCACATACCCTAACTATTAACAAAACTGTAGCTTTTTTGTGTATCACTCGGCTGCAGATCCTCAAATCATCTCTGAATTCACACTGACCCTGTCCTTCCTTCTGGATGGGGCTACTTTTGTTCCCCATGATCAGATTTGGACCAAAGCAGGTCCGAACAAGAAAGTGCCATGGGCACTTCCAGCCATTCAGCTGCGGGGCAAACATTCCGCACCCCACAGCTGCATGTAAACAAAGGGGCAATATGCTTGTGCTTATGTCATTTACCTTACGGCCACATTTCCCAAATCTAGACATGTAGCCATATATGGTCCATGACGTCCCTTTACTGCAGTCTGCAGGCAGGGGATTCACTGCCCACAGCTGATTGAGCAACATAGAAGGAACTTCCTTCTGTATTTGGGATTAGCTGCTTCCTGGTTCAAAGAAGCTCAGGTTCGGACCAGGTTTAGTCCGAACCTGAGCTCAACCCTTCTGCTAAACATCTCTCTCTCTCTCACTCTCACTCTCTCTCTCTCTCTCTCTCTCTCTCTCTCTCTCTCTCCCTCCACCATCCTAGCACACATGTTTATGCAATATAGCAACATATTTCCTTCTTACAGGGTTACTGTGGTTGTCCATTAATCTCTCCTTTAGAGGTAACTCTCAGCATGTCTTTTCCAACTACCTCTCTCTCTCTGGTACAAAGGGCACCTTTACACAAGAGTGAACTCATATGGTATGGTGCAGACCCAATTACTAACCCATTTTAATGGGGAACCCTTTTCCACATACTCCTCAGACCAAACTTTCCCTAAAATCTCCACCCACCTGCCCTTATATATCATTTAGAAGTGACAGACGTGTTGCCTGGTTCCCAAAAGGTGGGACTTTGTCTTAAGGGGCCTACCACCTCGTTACTAACATAAAAGCCAAGAAACTAGTATTTTCTGAAAGAGAGTTCAGAAATGACAGGACCCATATCCTTTTAATACAGGGTTCCTTTAAGACCTTTGCAAAGATTCTCCTGACTGTCACTGTGGTTCTTCGTACCATGCTGTAACTTTAAAATATTAGTGCACTTTAAAACAAAGTGCACTTATCCTTTTGACCCCTTTAAGATGACATCACCAATCCCTCCCTCCTCCTGCCCAGATGCATACTTACCAAATTCCAGCAGGCCATGCTTCTGTTGATTGTTCATATCCTGTGCCAGACGTGTCCCTCTCCTTGCCATGCCTGTGTAGTACATCCCCATTTACTTCTATGGTGCTTGTGTCCTGACCAGGAGACGAGCCCCATAGAAGTCACTGGTGCTCTACTGCACAACCGGCAAGGAGAACAAGATGTCCACCGCAGGATGTAAACTAACAATAGAGGTCCTTTGGAACTCAGTAAGTATGCATCTGCACAGGAGGAGAGATTGGTGATGTCATCTAAAAGGGGTAAAAAGGATTAGTGCGCTTTGTTTTAAAGTGTGAACAGGTCACTACATGAAGTCTCATCATGCTAGGCTATATTATACATGAAAGTCAAGGACAGAGGAGGAACTAGTATTTGGTTGTAGAGAGAATCATTGGTGGGTGGTCATGTTTGATGTTAACTCAAAATGTTCAAACAAAGCTAGTTAATCCTTATTTTTTAGTTTATTTTTTTTTTCAAACAAACGTTTTCATCAGGCTCTAACAACAAATGAGAGGCCACACTGTCTGTTAACCCAACATGGTATATCCCCGACCATGTAACACGGTAGTCTCCGGTCACATCACCGTCCACCGACCGCAGTAGGCAGTGATGCGGTCACCGTCCACCGACCGCAGTCAACCAAGATTAATGCGTTTCAGGGGCAAGCCCCCTTCCTCAGAATCGTGATTCTGAGGAAGGGGGCTTGCCCCTGAAACGCGTCAATCTTGGCTGACTGCGTTCGGTGGACGGTGATGTGACCGGAGACTACCGTGTTACATGGTCGGGGATATACCATGAAAACGTTTGTTTGTGAGTACTTTTATCCCTTGTTTTATTTATTGTAATAAACGATTTTACACACGGAGGTGGCGCTCTGTTCCCTTTTGTTTTCTATATTCGTGGTGGAAGCCCCAGAGCCTTGGATGAGCAGACCCTCAAGTCTGTGTAAAAAACTGTGATAAATTGTTGAAAACTTTGAGTGTGCAACAGCAAGTGGATTGTTCAGCTGGCAGCCATTAGCGCCAAGAGCTAAAGAAAACTTTTTGTCTGATGTGAACATCTAGGGTTTTTTTTACTCTGTAGCTTAACCTACAAATTGGATCCAACTTGAATTTCCCCTTTAACTAATGACTTCTCCTCCCTTAAACCTATAAAAGATTGTTCTCGAAATCTATCCATCAGACTGAAACTCGCGTGCTTCCAGGACTGCCGTGCTTGGTGAGACATGGGGAATTTGCTTAGCATTGCATAGTGACGTCCGGTGGCCTTCTTCATTACAGCAGAGCGTGGAGGTCAATCAGATTATACACAGCATGCATAAGTTACAATGTATCATTCCTAAAAATAGACCACCATTACAGCTGCCAGGATTTAATATCAGCTTTCAGAATATATTAGAGGAATTAAAATACAGAAACCTGTGTCACTAGGCAGCAACTCCAGTTAGATCTGTGTAGGCTATCATTTTACATTGCAGATCTATTAGGAATAATGGCAGATATGTGGATAACATTAAACATGACTAATCTGAAATATACCTAACATATATTCATGAAATATTTAGGAGATATTTCATAAGTCAGTACCAGAGCTGAAGTGACCCTACATGGGACTCAAGGCAAAGTAATAGCTATTGACACCCATCTATATCTTGCCATTAGCTTACAAAGTGTTTCAAGGTATCTTTACTAATTGGCAAATCTTCTTCTCTATGCTTGAGGAACCCCGACCACAGGTGCTCTCTGTATACCTGCTTTGACTTTTACTTATACCCCTGTTCTGTGAGACATACAAAGAGACTGCCCTTATGTGGGTGTGTGAAAAGGCAATACAGTGAAAGTGCACCTCTTTGTAAGATAGAGAAAGAGAGAACCCCTGGGTGTGTCAGATAGAGTTGAATGAGAGTGCCCATATGAGATATAAAGAGAGTCTAGCAAAGGTGCCCCTGTCCTGTAACAGAGAGAGAAAATTCACTGAAATTGTCTGTGTATGAGAGAGATTGAGACTGTCCCTGTCCTATAACGAAGAGAAGAACCAGTGAGACTGCCCCTGTTCTATAACGAAGAGAAGAACCAGTGAGACTGCCCCTGTTCTATGACAAAGAGAGAGACCGGCGAGAATGCCCCTGTCCTATGACAAAGAGAAGGACCAGTGAGACTACCCTGTGCTATGACAGAGAGAGGGTCCAATGAGACTGCCCTGCCCTATGACAGAGAGGGGGTCCAATGAGACTACTCTGTCCTGTGACAAAAAGAGGGACCAGTGAGACTGCCCCTGCGCTATGACAAAGGGAGAGACCAGTGAGTGTACCCCTGTCCTATGACAAAGAGAAGGACCAGTGAGACTACCCTGTGCTATGACAGAGA